TTGGAGGGCGTGGCTCCTGGTGGAGCCACAAAAATAAGAATAAAATAAATAAATATAAGATAAATATAAGACATATAAAATAAATATAAGAAATAAAATAAGAAAATTAGTAATTTTCTATGCAATTTACGGGGGCAATTTTGTGGTTTGATGGCTGATGAAAGAAACCAAACCAGCTGTGAAAATCCGAATTGGTACACATTTTCAGAAGAACAGTTTTTTGGAAAACTTCATTTGGAGGAACATTGAGGATCTTGGGAGCGGCGAGCTGGAGAGCCGATACCAAGAAAGGTTCCAGTCGCAAATTTACGCTACGGGCTTGGAATTTACTTAGAAACGTAGCCTAGCCCCACCGTTGTTTTTCCCATCAGTCTAGGCATTTCGCCAGCTATATTGACGGTTATATAAAAACGTACACAAAACGTCCAATGAAAACCTATGCTGTGGAAAGCGGTCATAAAGTCTATAGTTGAAATTTTCACGAATTTGGAAAGCCTGGTTTTCACAGGTGGGGGCCAGGTGGTTAACGGAATCCTGAAGTTTGTAGATTATCCAAGAAATCTGGCGACCACGACATCAACTCATATTCTAAAAGGCGTATCTCAAAAAGGCAAGGTGTTGATGTATCTATGAGACGTAACTTAAAACAGTAAACCCGTAAAAAAAACTGGACTTCGTGGCGTCCTGATATTTTTTTAAAGGTATTTACAACCCTAGGTAGACTTTCTCTGTAAAAATTTTGCACAAACCGTTAATCCGATAATTCGTTAGATACGCGGTTTCCTATCGTAATTCTTTCTCGGGCGTTTCTGGCTGCTAAACGGGCGGTAAAAATTTCTCGAAAACCCATTTTTTTTCGGAAATCACGTTTCAAAAGGGCACTTTGCAAAAATTAACCTCTGTGGCCATTTTCTAGTATTAGCTAGACGCAAATTTTTTGAAATATTGATCTTGAAGACCAGGGTTTTCGAAAATATATGTGGAAATTTCCAAAGGTACCAGAAACGCGTAATGATTTCCTAGCGTAAGGCTTTTGACGCCGCAAACCTTACCAATGCCTTACCAATACCTCCCCTAATCTGCAACTATCCACTATATATCCTACTATATATAAAAAAATAGTGTCTGTGTGTGTGTGTGTGTGTGTGTGTGTGTGCATTTGCATGGCTTCCGTCACCGTGTTCCAGCTAGTATCTCAAGAAGGGAAGTACTTAGGGGTATGTTAGATACGTCATTAGGTGAATAATGGGCTGGGGATGACTGCACACATATCAGAATTTTACAAAATATGCTGTTAGCAACATTAAAATTAAGTTTTTCATGGAAAATCGGACACCCCACTTTGTTAGGATCAGATTAGCATGCACCGGAAGTCGCGGTAGCCTATATAAACGGATGGAGAGAGCATTTTTAATTTTTCGTCATCCGAATCCGCGAAAATTATGCAAAGCGAAGAATATCATGGGCACAGACGGGGTGGGGATTGAAAAAGTCGCGAGAAGCGGCTTTTCAACAACCCCAAATTATTCTAATGTCCGTCTGCCCGACCATCCGTACACGAATTCAGCCAACGTCTGCATTCAAATTCAAAATTCAAATTTTGGGGGAAGGAGGTCCAGTGCTGAACCCCCGCGTAGCGGGGGGTCAGCGCTGGTTGTGGTTCCAAAAATCTGTTGTCAGTCCAGGCTACAAACAAAAGCCGGTTTTCGGCTGGGCCACTATTCCCCAATAGACTATTCTAACATCTTAAGGTCTCTTTTCCAACGCCTTTAATGTGCCAATTCCGTGATCTGCACCTGTTGTGGCTCCAAAAATCTGTTGTCAGTTCAGGCTACAAACAAAAAACGCAGGATCTCGAGGGGTAAGCAGATGGCTGCCGGGGCGGTAAGATACGAGGTGATAACGCGTCAGTGAGGCGAAGATTAACGGGGCCACAGATTCACAGCTCCGGCTACTGGAAAGTCGCGGAAAAATCGGGCTGCTGAAGAAGATGGGCCGGCCGTTGTTGGTCTTTGTTTTCGTCGCGTTGCTGGCAGCGGTCGTGGGTTTTTTGGAGGCCTGTAATGGTCCTGATCTTGGCTTAATCTCCTCATTATTCGGCTCCTCAAGCATCTGGAATCTGGCACCTGGAATGGGAGCTAAATACTAGTTTTGGTACTATGTGATCTCGAGACATTTTTGTAAAAGTGTTTCCATAGCGAAACACCTGTCTATTTGTATCCTGATCGTATGCTAAATAGGATCTAAATACTGAAAAACGCCTGAAAAGGTAATAAAACAATTTTGGAGATTTTTAAGACTTTTTCAAATGGGTAGCATATATGTTTTATGCAAATAGGTATCACCTTATCAAATAGAGAATATAATTAAATACTTAGTTACAAATGAATAGCCATTTTTTCGTGTTTTTCAAAGTTCATTGCTAATTTTAACTGAATTTTGCCTATTTATGTTGTCTGATAAAACGGTATCGTTGTTGTTAGGTTTAGTTGTTGTAAAAATTAAAATATGGCTGACATTCTAGGCCGCCAAGAAAGCCGTAAAGCCCCCGCCAGCCCCGTACGCTCCGGAGTGCCGCATCGACGAGCCGGACCTTTTCAAGGAGGCCGACCCGTCTCAGGTTTGTATCTGAAATAAGTTTTCCGGAACTGGAAATCGGAAATTGCTGTTTACCCGAACCTTCAATACGTGATTTGATCGGGGAATTAAAATTTTTTTGCGGCTTCCCGAAAAGCAGAAACTGAGATTCTGCCGTCCGAGTTTTTGTTGTAGCTTAAAAAAAAGATTGCCTTTCCGGATCAGGTCCTTACGAAAAAGCAGACTTGTCCGTCTTTCCATAGGCAAACGGAACTTCACATATTCAAACAGGCTTTTTAGGTTTCCGGAACTAAGTTTTGCGATTTTCCTGACTGTCAATTAAAATCCGTTTGACAGAACTTTTGGATTTCCACTACCTCTCTGAATTTCCACCAGTTTGCCGTCGGAACGCGTCCGGTTCTTGCCGTCTTTCTGGTCCGGAAAACTCATCGGGGGCCATGCGCGTTTTTGGTGATAATGGGTGTGGGAACGCATCAGCTGTCGGGTTGGGTACAGAGGGAAGAAGGTAGAAACTTCAGTTCTTTAAAAACGGGGGAATAATTTCGAAAAAGGAAAATGCTAAAATATGGCCAAACTAGCTTATTAATTATCTGCAAACCGGTCGAAAAGTGTCACTATTGCGTTAAATTTTATAAAGCAAAAGAGTACCTTGCTTTAATGCACTAACACTACCGTACCTAACATAAAATCCTTTCCAGGTCCCGTGGTTCACCATCGACCTCGATGCCCCGGCCAAGACCCGATATGCCCAGATCGCTCGCGTCTACAAGGACCAGATCCCGCCCGTTCTTGATGTGCTGCGCGTAAGTTATTGTAAACCATTATGTCAGATATATGTTACAGATTTTTAAAATATTGGTGTAATTTTGATTATCCTCGCATAGATAGTGACCTTACAAAAGCTAATCCTTAAGTTCGGTTTTTTTTAGCAAATGGTCGCTATGATCGTCGGAGATCTTCCGCTTTTCGAGGTCCTCGAGTCGTTCTTCCGTGACGCCTTTGAGGGTGGACGCTACCCGCAGCCGTACAGGGATGAGATTCAGGTATGTATTACGATATTATCAGGGAAAGAAGAGGACAAAGCTAATGCGTAAGTAAAAACTAGGATATATCGATAAACTTAGCGTATTATACACGATACTCTAGAATCATCGGTATCACCAAGTACACCGGAAACCGCAACTCCACTACCTTTTAGGGAATCGCCGATGCCTCCGGTGTCCCCGTTGAACAAATCGCGATGATGAACGTCTTCTACGAGTTGTCCCGTTATTGCACATCCATCGTTGCCGAAGACGCCACCGGTGGAATGTGGCATGGACGGTACGCCTTTTCGAAATTTTCACAACGTCTTTGTGTTTTAGTAACCTCGACTTCGGCCAACTCTTTATCTGGGACGTCAAGGATCAGTCCTGGGGGCTGACCGAGGCCTTGAAGAAAGTTACCATCAACCTTAATTTCATCAAGAATGGAAAGCTGATGTATAAGGGAACGACTTTTGCTGGACATACCGGAATTATCACTGGTAAGTCGTGAGTATCGCGCTCTCTCGCTCTCTCTCTTTTTCTCTCTCTCTCTCTCTCTCTCTCTCTCTCTCTGTCGTATCGTAGCCGCGCAGAGGAGCCGTAGCGTAGGGGCCGTGTCGCAGCGCGGCGTAGTATCTCGTGCCGTCGTAGTGTCTCAGCTTAGCATTTCCTAGAGTACAGCGTTGTACGGTACTGCGGCGTAGTATTTTGCATCGTCTCGTAGTGTAGCATATCGTAGAGCACTTTTTGTATCGTTCCGTAACGCAGTATCGTCTCCTAGCTGAGCTTCGAATAGTTTCGTATCGTAATGTATCGTGCCCTATCATACCTTATCATAGCGTATTGTCGGTAACCGTGTGTAAAACTACGCTTCATAATGTAGCATAGCGTTTTTGCATTGGACCTTACCATTTTGTATTGTGTTGTATCATAGCGTAGCATCTGTCTCCCTCTTTCTCGTTCTCTCTCTCTTTCTCTCTCTCTCTCTCTCTCTCTCTCTCTCTCTCTCGCTTAAAATTCCTTTAAAGGCATGCGCATGGGCGAGTTTACCCTCTCCATGAACGCCAAGATGGTGCCCGACATTGCTCAACTTATGGAGTGGCTTACCGGGGATGTCAAGGACGTCCATTTTGCCATGTGGGTAGACCGCGAGACCATGGAGAAGGCCAACAACTTTGAGGTAAACTTGCCGAACCCGTCGTGAAAACTTTGAGTCTAGGAAGCCCGCGCCTACCTCTCGACCGTCGAGCAAATGACCGGATGCTACTACATTCTGGGCGGTAACAAGCCCGGCCAGGGTTCGATCATCATCCGCAACGCTACCGCCATGTACGAGGAGCCGAAGCTGCACGATGGGGACAACGACTGGTTCGTGCTGCAGACGAACTACGATCCCGAGCAGGTCAGGAGGGAGCAATTTTCTCGGCTTTCCGAACATTGTGCCAGCAATCGTCTCACCACATAGATTTTAGACTTTTGACAACTTCCATGTTCCTTTAGTCCTATTTTAAATGATTTTTAGGAACCCCTCTGGGTAGATGACCGTCGTACCGGAGGAAACGCCTGCATGAACAAGCTCGGAAAGGATCGTGTCAGCCTTGAGACTCTTTACAAGGTACGAAATCTCTCTCTCTCTCTCGCTCTCTCTCTCTTGTCTTATACGCCCTTCAAATTATTTTTTTAGGTGCTGAAGTCCAAGACAACCCTGAACAAGACCACCGTCCACACCGTCATCATGTCCATCACCCACGGTATCTACCAAACTTACATCCAGACGTGCGAGAACCCGTGCTGGCCATTTTAAAGTGCACATTTTGTTGTAATAAAGTTTTCAGGTTTTGATTTCGCGTTTACAACGCAAAAACACAGTATTTCTTTGCCTCACGCACAGACCGCCACAGTATTAACCAAGAATTTTGTTACGTGCCCTAAGTTATAAAAGTTAGGGCTTATCTTGATTACAATCGCCTACGACGCGGAATTCTCACCGCAACCTCATTTCCGTTAAAAAGCCACATAATCGACTCTAAAATTTTTTTTCTTTTGCTCAAGTACCGCTTGCGAGGTGTCTTTCATATATTCCCTACATTTCAGAGTTCCTCGAGAGATTTTTTGACTTTTTATTGGCCCGATTTTCGCGCATTTTGAGCCCAAAAATCCCCAGGAATCTCCGAAACCCCAGGAACCCGATGAATGTAGTTTCATCCCCGGGACCAAATTCCGTCCTTGATCTGCGGCTACTTTTTTATCCACTTCGTGTCTGCATCCGTTTCCGCAAGCCGTTTCTTCTAGCCTCGCGACCTGTCAATCCGATCCCTGTATCGTTCCACTTCCACCGATCTTGGTGCGTTCTTGCAAGCTTTCCAAAACCGAACTTTGGACAGGCGAGAGGGAGGGAGAGAGAGACAGAGAGACACGAACGCCCCGATCACAACAGGGCACAGGAAGCGGATCCGGACGCGCCGCGGCCTTTTTTGCCGTTGGGTTTCAATTTCCGCCCCCCCCTTATTTACACGCACCGCGGCGCGTTCAATCGTATCGGCTTCATATTTGCGCCACTTGGCCACTTCACCCGCCTAGTCCGTGCGGCAACCACAGCAACGGGCGGCCGCTGCCGCCTTTCCGGGGTACACCGTATCCGTTCCGAGGAATGTACGGTGGTCCAGAGGTCTTTCTGTGGGGGGGGTCTGGCCATTTTTAAAAGGACCTAGAGGTCAACTTCCGGTCTTTGTGAAGTTTCTGGTTTTTGTCAAATATCCAAAAAGCTCCCCAAAAGGGATTGACGGCTGAGTTCGCTATTTGTGTTTTTCTAGGTTTTAGAACTTTGAAAGATACTTAGAAGATACTTTCCCAGCTTAATTTAACAGGCTGAATTACTATTTTAAACAACTTTTCCGTGCAGAAAAATTATTTTTTTTTGCTTAATTATGAGCTTCTGACGTTAATTTCAAAGCAAAGTTGATACCAACAAGTTATATTGCTTCCGCCAAATTCTCTGTTAGCTTGCCCTAACCATTTTGTTCAAAATTATAAATAAAATAAATAATCTTTTTTTCTTTTTCTTTTTTTTCATGCCGTATTCCCTCACTTTTAAGCGTTTCTCATTGAAACCTTAGTGTTGAATAAATTATTATTTAAATCTCGTATTTCTCTGAAGAATCAGTCATGTTTCCTGAACCTCCACCCATTTTCCTAGGTGCGGAAACGGGTGCGGAAAGCTGGATTCGGATTACGCACGAGATGGAAGGACCAAAGAATCGGGCGGGGGCCCTCGAACGAGATCGGGAGATCGCTTTTTCCTGGTAATTGACACCTGAAAAAACGGTCTGCTGGCCCGGTTCCTTCTTTGTTTGGCTTGATGCACGCAAACTGTTGCAAGCGAGAGCCCCAATGGCAAATATTCCACACCGGTTTTGGCTTTTGGCGCCGACCTTCTTATGGCAGGGTGATGGTCTTGAGGAGGCTCATTTGGAGCTTTCAATCCTGGCCGAAGATCGATGTCGAGTTTCTTATCACCTTACTTTGTAATATTATTTCTCTAATCGGACTACGAATTGTCATGGTGCGTTAGAATTGCTTAAACGCTGCGCTTTTACCGGAAACGACGATAAAAGCTTGTAACGATGGATTTTTGGTCTTTTGACCTATGATTTTTTTGGGTGGTAAGGACGATCCTTCCCGGATCCAGCTTGAATTTTCAGACTTGCCAAATTTTCTTAATTAGCAACGACGGATCGGATTTCCTTCAGATCTTAATTTTGACGGCCCAGCCCAAGGTTTTAGATTTTTCATGGCAGCAAGACCAGGGTTGGTCAGAAATTTCTAAAGTTGTGGCCTTTTGAAATTTCGGTGCTTTTGGAGTGTAGCGTTGGATTTTTCCTTGTTTAGTTTAAGTGTTCAACGGTTCAGGTTTTCAAAGTGCAATTGGAATGATAGCGAAGATTGATTTCTCGATTTTTTTTCCACATTTTCGGCTTATTCTGGCCGTTTGTAGCGTCGTGGTAAAACCCCCCCCCCCCCCCCCCGAAGACCGGATAGCTTTTATTAAGTTGTGGCTTTTTGAAATTTCGGTGTTTTTGGAGTGTAGCGTTGTCCTTCCTTCAGACTTGCTCGCTCTCCATCGCGCACTCTTCTCTCTGACTCTTCGTTCATCTCTCTCTCTGTATATGCGTCTATCTCGGATTTCCGGAAGTCCTCAAAATTTCCTTCCCTTCGCTCCCAATTAAACCCATTCACGCTCCTCCCCTTTTCCAGATCCGTTACAATTCCGTGCATCAAGGGTTTGCAGAAAGTGTTCCAGGCCGTTCGGGTCATTCTCTCGGCTCCAGAAGAGAGGAGAGACCAAAGGGACCTCTCCGCCTTCTCCGGTTACCCGGGTTCAGCGAGAAGCCGCGGGTTGTTCAGCTTTTTTTTCCAACGCCCTGCGGCCTGGGGCGCTTTGGACGCGGCGCTGCGCGCGCCGCCCGGATGAAGTGGTTGACACTCGCGCGACACAAATAGATCAACACAGCCGAGGGGAGTGTGTGTGTGTGTGTGTGTGTGTGTGAAATACACACACAGTCTCCACTACGCCCAACACCTATGGACAGCTCCGAACGGCTCGGCCCCGCCGCCGTCGGCACCAGCTGACGGAAATTGCCGTGGGGGGCGTGTGTGTGCCTGCGTCGAATTTTGCACCTCCCGGTTTCAGACTGCTTCTGGAATCTCAAAAATTTCCGTGTCTTGGCATGGGGTTTTCGGTTACGGTAGCATGCATCAATCCGAAAGTTGCTCTGCTAGCCTGCCCAGTCGTTCCTAACTTTTCTGGGAACTCTGCCAGCTTGCCCTCAAGGTTTAGCTTTACAAGGACCTATGCGTGTTGGCCATATAGTTGATGCTCAGTACTTTTGCTACGGCCGTCAATCTCTCAGCTACCTTGCCCTAACGTTTTCAAAAACCTTTCCGGATACCCTAAGAACCTCTGCTAGTTCTACCGAGTTAACTAAGAGCCCAATACCAATATAATACCTGTCAGGGCCCGCGTGGCTCAAAAAGGATTATCGATTTTCAAAGGACCTCTGCTAGGCCGATTTGGAAGGTTGTGTGTTATTTCAAAGAATTCTCAAGTGTCTCCGCTAGCTTGCCTAGAAAATGCGTGACTTACGGTAATAAAATCCTTAAGGATCTCTGCTATCTTGCTCAAAATGAAATTTGGCTTACTAGAAGCAATCCTCACGGATCTCTGCTAGCCTACCTAAATAACATGCAACAAAATGTGGCTTACGTTCACAAATCATCATGAACCTCTGCTAGTACCTCCCAAGGTTTGACGAGCCTAAGATGCAACAACATCGCCACTGGTCTTATGTTTTGAACAATCCCTGTTTGCTTCCAGTCTGTTTTTGGCCTCAAGGGATCGCTGCTAACGTTCCTGTTTTTTTTGGCTAAAGAGCAGTAGGCCAGATTTAGGCCTTCAACGACCCTTTTCAACTAGTTTGCTCGTGATCCTTAGCTTTCGACCTATGCGCTCTCCACAAAAACCTGTCACTGGCTAGCTCGTAGCTACCGTAGCAAGCCTCTCTAGGTCAGGTTTCCACAAAAAACCAGGACTTCCGTAGTGCTTAGGATAGGGGGTGGGTGAAGGCTACTTCACGCAACCCACCCCCGGGACGGGCACCAATCAACATGCAAAAAATGGTGGGGGGCCGGCGGAAGCGGATGCGGAGACCACTTACCCGCCACTTCACCTCTCTCACATAGACAGCCAGACAGATACACTCCATCCCGGCCATTCGTCGATGGGATCATTCTAAACTTTCAATTGCTCACCCCGTGTGTGTGGACTTTGATCTAGTATTTGGGATTGTTACAGTACCCATGACTTTATTTTTCTACCTTTAACCTGACTCACTGAGGCTTCTGAAGCTTCCTCTATAGTCTCTGCTAGCTTGCCTTACTTTGACGATACATTGAAGCGTATCTGCATGCTATATGCTAGCCTGCCTCACCTCAGAAAGGCTTCGACACTATTTTCTTACTGAATTTCGTTTTCTTCGCTTTCGTATCCTTTCAATACGCCTACTTTTTAGAATGATCGACCGGCAGCGGCTCGGCCAAGTTTTCCTAGCGCTTCAGATTTTTATTCTCGAAGTAGTGGCCAATGAAGATAGCATTTACACCCAGCCGGCCGTGAGTTTCCGGCATTCTACAGCTCTACGTAGCTTTTAAATCATTCCTAATCAAAGAATCCTTTCTCTAGGAGCTGATGCTAGCCGGAAAGCAACCCGATTCGATGTATCCCTATCAGATGTCGTTGACGAGGAGTAAGCGGCAGTGCTGCAGCATGTGCAATATGGGGGCCGGGGATTGCGGGTAAGGAAATTTTTTCTAAAGTTTTCAAATTTGTGAAAATAGCGTAATACTATCAACGTACAAAATCTACAAGTAATAATTTGTCTAGAATGGCAGAAAAACCTAGAAATCGCGTTGAACCCGGTTTTTTTCACAAAATCTAAAACCTCCAAACACGCACTTTTAAACTAAGGGTTAAATTAAACTAAAAACCTGAAAATTTAGGTGCGGCGGTTGCCCAATGATGTCGCGTCAAATTGTGGCAAGCCCAGAGCCCGTCTGTCCGGCCAGATGCATGCCAATGTGCACATCGGCTTGCGTGATGGGAATTGATGTGGGTTTCACTAATTTTCAGTAGAAATTTTAGTTTATTAAGTTTGTTTATAAGTTCTTGCACGCCCCGTTTTCGTTATTAGGCACCAGCGACCACATGCACGGCTCGTTGTATGCCGGATTGCTCGCAATCTTGCCTGCAAATGGGCAGCACTTGCGAGGATCGTTGCATGCCACAATGTCAACCGTCTTGTTTGCAGGTTTTGTTTTATAGCTTTTGCTTAATTTATACTCATAAACTTGTTCTTAGTCATTTTTTAAACATGATGAACTGAATATCGCTAAAAATCCCTCTTCGAAACCGCTATACGGTTTTTCGGTTTTAGTAGGCGTTCTGGATTATAATTAGTCCACTAGAAAAACTTTTTGCAACATTTCCGATAAAAGGTTATACATAATTATTAACCTTGTTACCTAGATACCATTTTTGCGATTTACTATCTGTTTAAAACCAAAAATACAATTACTCTAGCATGGCATCAAAAACAAAAAAAAGTTTTTGCCGATTTCACTAGGATTTTGACGGATTTCGGCCTCGACATGTTTAGCAAAAATGAAGAGGACGCTCTTTTCTACCTGTAGAAATTTTTGATTTACGAAAATTACGTTTAAATTGGGCCTTTCGATTACTTTTTATTATCGAAATTGCCAGAAACTGACCGAGAAATGACCATTTTTTGGAAAATTACTCAAAATCCGCATGCTAATTGCGAAAACATAGCCAAAAACGAGTACCAGCGTTTTCCAAAAATCAGTTTTTTAGCGATAACTTTTTGGTTTTACAATATTTTGCTTAGAAAATTTGGCTGCACATAGTTTTTATGGGTCACCATCACTGGTAAAAATTTGGCCGTGATACGATAGAAGACGGCCAAATGCCGAGGGGTTTTTTTTTGGGACACCCTGTATTAGAAATTAGTAGATAGGAAATTGGTTATATTGCATTTTACTAGAAGTTTGTTCCAATTTTAGTAGGGAAATTTTTAAGACATAGGAAATGTTGGGAGCGGGCTTTCCAGAATGTTAATTACTACTTTTAAATGGAAAAACTCGATTGAGTGCCATATTCTGCTCCAAATCAGTAGATAGGAAATCGCTACCCAACTAGTCCAACCTGATATCCTTGATCTTCCTGAACCCTCCCCCCCTTCCTTGTCTCATCTTGATGCTCGGCCTGCCAATCTGCCAAAATCGGCTTTTCCCCCGCCGGGGTTGCCCTCCGCTGCTCTCAAATCGCCCTTTCGGCGCGCCTGCCCACATGGCTGAGTGGTCTAGTGGTATGATTCTCGCTTAGGGTGCGAGAGGTCCCGGGTTCAATCCCCGGCTCAGCCCAGATTTTTTGCTTTTTGAGCGTCAGGAACAGAAAGTCGCCCAGAAGCGCTGGAAGGTATTTTTGATGGGGTCGTATGACTTTATTATTTATGGTATTTATTTTTCTTAAAGTCACGACAAGACAAAAATTTCCCTTTTCTAACACAAAAACCCCCTTGAAGCTGTTTTAATTTCCTTTTCCATAGCTTTTTTAGTTTTTTAAAATAGCCACAAATAGCCTTTTTCCTGATTGAAATTTAGGTATTTTTTTAATCGACTGGTCATATCAATTTTGATCTTTTTATGTTTCTTTTATGTATTTAACCTTTTGATTTTTACTGTAAAATTATTGTAGAAGAATACTCAATTTATGATTTATCCCTTATCATTTCCCTAATTTTGCAGCCGTCCAACTCGTGCATCGCCCGTTGCATGCCCGACTGCTCACCCAGCTGCATCACCGCACCGGCAGTAATTCCCTTTTTGTGATTCAGATCAGCCTTCGCGTTTCTTCCCAGGCGTCGTGCATCCAGGCGTGTATGCCGTCGTGTAATGCGGCTTGTGTGAGGGCGATGATTCCGAATTGTCCGCAAGAGTGTCTACCGTCGTGTTCGTCGAGTTGCGTGCAGCGGGTGATGACGGTAGGTTTAAAGGGATTCCCAACCCTTTCGGGGCTCAAAAGCAAAAACCTTGCCGCGGGCGCGGGTCGAACCCGGGACCCCCGTTTTGCAGGCCAGGGTGCTATCCATTAGGCCATAGTGGCAAGCCATTGGGTGGGATGGGGACGCCACAAGAGGGAAATGTGTCCGAATTTTGTGCGGCACTGGCGCCTCATTGCCACACAAAATTCCCGCGTCATTTGTACTGCCCGGAATACATAACTATATATTTGCCACCAAAACCTTGGGTATCCCTTTAAGGCTTTTGTATTTCGATTCTTTCTTGTGCTGCAGAGCTGTAAGCTATACCAAAATGTTTGTCACTCAATGAAAAATAGGAGCACATTCAATTTAAGTGAAGAATAATGATAAATAAAAAACTCTGTGTAAAAAGTCGTCAGTGAGGGTTGTAAGTCAGAATTTATCCGTTTTTCTTCCATGGCTTTGATACTGGATTTCATTACCGATACCTTGAATACTGTTTTTAATGTTAGAACATGATTAAGCCATTATATTAGGTTGGACCATAAGTTCGTACAATAGAACTTCGAAGATTTCTTTCTAAAATTTTTGTGGGCCGATATAACTGTTTCTTTCCCCCCATATTTGCTGAGTTTAATAGTATTTGTGATAGAATTTACAAGATTTTAGGCGCAGTAGTTTTTATTATTTTTTGCCTTTCTCTATGAGGTGTCGCAAATTTTTGACCCGGACATCTTTCAGGATCACCATAACTTTACCATAGCATAGAGGCGCCAGCAAAATAATACTTTTTAGCAACTATTTAGATGCAGAAATATGCGAAAAGATAAATCGGAACTTTTTTGGAAACAGCGGCCCGCAGTCTTTTTCGATTTTCCAGTAAATTAATCTGAAAAAATTCTAAGTGAAATGGATTGTGATTTCGTCCCACGGCTCGAATAGAGAATTTGATTGTGCATACGTCAATCACTAAAAGATTTTGTCCTGAACCGTTTTCCGGAACGAAAATATAAAATAATGAAAAATATTGCACGAACTTTCGGTCCAACCTAATAGATCCAGCTCTATCTCTTGTCTTTTTAGATCTCGGCCCGACCCACTTGTATGGCAGCTTGCATGCCAGATTGCCGACCACAGTGCGTGGAAGCTTTGGAGGTATAGTATTTAAAGATATACCAGGGTTGAAAAGCCGCTTCGCGCCTTTTCAACCTGGCCCCCGTCTAGCGTCATAATATGCTTCATTTTACATAACTCTCGCGAATTCCGAAATTTCCGAAAAAAAATGAAAATTTCTCCCTCCGCCCATTATGTAGACTCGCGCCATTTCCGGCATATGCTAATTGATTCCTAACAAAGTGGGTGCTCCATTTTCTAACAAAAACTTAATTTTAACGTCGAAAATAGCATAATTTGCAAAATCTGATGTGTGTGCACTCATCTCAGCGCCATTACGCACCTAATGACGTACCATACGTTGCTTAAAACCCTTTCCCTCTCGAGATATCCTCCGGACACCCTGACGGAAGTTGCATGCAAAGTGGCACACACACACACACAAACACACAGACACTATTTTTTATATATAGTAGGATTACCATTGTAGTACTATTTTACTCCATATTCTTATGCATATTTTGATTCTTTGATACTGTAACCTTAAATTTTCAGATCCGAGTCTCCGAACAAACCTGTATCCAGCCATGTATGCCCCAGTGCTCCCCACAGTGCGTCCAGGCGCTGCAAGTAAAGGTTTGTGGTGTTTTGAAAGTCGTCTCCGTCACTCTCTCTCCCTCTTTATCTCTCTCTCTCTCTCTCTCTCTCTCTCTCTTTCGCTCTTTCATCCAAATGACGCTTTCGATATACTTACCGTTCGTTTTCAGACAAACTCCTGCGTACAACCTTGCATGCCAAGCTGTAACGCCCAGTGCGTTCAAGCCGTTACTTGCAGGTCAGATTTCGGATATCAGGTTTTGCAAAAACGCCGTTTTACAGTACCTGCACCAACAATTGCCCTTCGTCGTGCACCCAGTTGACCTGTATCCCCGAGTGTATGCCAAGGTGCTTGCCACAATGTCTACAACAAATCAGCGTGGTAAGCCAATTCTGAAACTTGATTATTTTGTTGTTTTCGATGTCATTAACCATCTGCTGTGTATTTTCTGTACTTTTTGAGGAGTGTCTTTTAGTTTCCCAGCTTTCCGAGACGTCCGTGGGTAAGGTTGCAGCACAAAATATCATTTCTTTTAGTTTATTGGATCTATTGGCTGCTTATTTTTTTGTTTATTGAGTTCTGAATGCAAAAATTGGTGCCAACCTTGTTAAAATCTGAGTTAAATTATTCAGGTACCCACCAGCACCTGTGATTCGGCTTGTATGCCGAGCTGCTCGAGGACCTGCGTCCAGATGATCGGCCAGTGTCCGCAGCAGTGTAGGCCGATGTGCACGTCGGCTTGCGTTAATGCGGTAAGGAGGAATAGATACCTTAGGAGCTTCTTAAATTGATTGCTCGTCTTACCGAGGTCCTGTATCTTAAGTTTTTTTTACCAAAATTCCTGCCGCTTTTGTCGTCATTTGGTTATCGGAGCTTTTTCGGAGATGGCATACTAGCCAAGATACTTGGGGAACTTGGAGCATGGCAGCGGAGGTTCTTTAGGATTTTCTGCAAAATATAGAAGTTGTTGTTCGAAGGGTAAGGGCAGGCTCGCAGCGATTCTTGAGGAACTTCCGGCAACCGCGAGAGGTCGTTTGGCATTTTGAGAGCAAATTCATCCTTTTCACGTCGCAGATTTTTCTTCCATGAATTTTATCCTCTCCCGAACTGTAAAGACTGTCCATTCAACCCCGCAGGCCATTTCCGGGTATTCCAGGTGCCAATCCGGGCCACGTGCGTCGAGCCTTGTATGCCGTCGTGCAACCCGATTTGCGTCCAGCAATTCTCCTACCAACACTCTCCAGTAGTAGCCGCCGCGCCGGCCGTCTGCATCGACCGGTGCATGCCGGACTGTAGGGCCACCTGTATTTCCGAGGTAACGTTACTGTCCTTTGGAATGTTGGGGATTTTGGGCTAAGCATATCCCGCCAAGTAATTCAGTAGATACAGTACTCTTCCGTAATTTAAGTTGCCAAAAAAGATACAACAATTACAAGCCTAATTCCTCCTCTTATGCATTTGATTTCCAAGATATGCGCGAAATTTAGCGAAAATCACGCGCGGGCTGGGTTTCACAGATTACGCTATGTTAATAAAAAATAAGGAAAACTCGCTTTAGTACCGCCAAAATTAAAAAAAACGCCAAGAACCTCCATGTTCAAGGGTCCACTGGAATACCCCGTTCCGGTGGTGACCAACGCCCTGGGCGAGTCGATCGAGCCCGTGACGATGGGTCCCGATTATGACTTGGTAGTGCTTAATGTAAGCCGGAAAATGGATAATTTTCGCATGGGGGATACGATAGAAAGGGCGCCTCGTTTTTCATTCCAAAGCTGTATAATTTTGCGAAAACCTGCCGCTTTCGTTTCAGCAAAATTGGGTTTAATTCCGATAATTTAATAAATATATATAATCCATTAGATTCTAATATGTTCCGGACAAGGGTACTTTATTTTTCTTCTTTTCTATATAATTCTTTACTATTCATACCTTTAATTTCGAATCGTTCTATTTTTCCTGCAGGCGACCTGTGCCCCCGAGTGCATGCCCGTCTGTGCCCCGGCCTGCATCGCCCGATATACGGTTTGGTTTCGTCATTAAAATATACCAGAAATATATTTTTATTGTGTTAAAATCTTTTGCTCATTTCATGATTAAGCGATGCCCTTTAGCTCTCGATCCCCGCCACGCAAGGCTCCTGTGCGCAGAGCTGTATGCCAATGTGTCTGCCTAGCTGCACCCAGAATCGTAAGTTGTAAAAAACGTCGGATGTTCTTTTTTAATTTTCTACTCGTTATTTTGGGCTCTTTGAGTGTGCTGTCACTTTAAAGTGAGGAGGAAGCATCAGATTCGATCCCTGCTTCCGCTAGGTCTCTACAGTGAAGCACTGCGCCAAGCGACGCTTAAAATCGTTTTTATGGTGTAGAACTCAAGGAAAGTGACGTTTTAGCCACAATGCTAAAAACTAAGAAAATAAGCGTTCATTGGCGTATCGCGTAGTTGTCGAGACCCAGTCTTCAGAAGGGGTCGATTCTCTCACTTCCTAGTCCATTTAAAGTCCGTTTTTCTGCGGGGTTCTTTCCTATCAACTGTCCTCTTTCAGTCCTCGGTGGTATTTCGCTGAAGAAGCGCAAGGAAGAGAAGAAGGACCCGGAATCGAAGAAAACTGTCTAACGATTTCCGCTTAACCACAAATTTCGGCAATCCCCACTTCACGATCTATACGGTGTACTGTATTCCTGTATTGCGTATATAACATCGAAAATTCGCTAGACTATCACTTTCAATGCTAGATATTTATATTTATTGCATGCTCAAGAACATGCTATCATCTATTTTCTGACCTTGTGTAGGTTTTAAAGTATTTTCTAGGGTTTAGAGAGGCTTGGAAACTCATCTTTTCGCTGCTTTCTTGCTTCCCTCTCTCTATTCCTCTCCCCCCCCTCTCTCTCTCTCTCTCTCCATTTTTCTCTTTATCCCTCACTTCTCGCTCTTCCTCTTTCGCTCTCTCGCTCTCTCACTTTCAACCCAAAATTTCCGATAAGTATTACTGTCGATTTCCGATTTTTTGGCTTCATTTTCCCCCGGTTTGAGCGTGTCTGTCCTATTTGGTGCTTGATAAAGTACAAGTTAATGATGTGTATAAAAAAACGTATTACATTTATATATCCTTAGTTTGGCCAATCTCTTAGATGGTATGGAGCCCGCTCCATCAATCCCGTGCACCACCTTCCCGTGCAGTTGTCAGCCCGGATATGTGCCATGCGGATCGAGCACGTGCTGCTTAAAGTAAGTAAAAAAATTAAATAATGCCGAAATGGCTTTATTCCAAAGGTAATAACCATTCTTCTATACCTCTGGCAATTCAAAACACTTAATAGGCCACAATTTTTAAAAAACTGAACAATACTAGCAGGATTTTTTAGTGCTGGGTCGATAGAACTAGACCATACATCATAGCTATTATTCAAAAGCCAAAATACGTACTAATAGATCTCCCTAGAGTCTAAAATACATTTTTCGAGACCTCTGGAGCTCTATAAAGCCGATTCCCCAAAAAACAAAAGATCTGGGCTGAGCCGGGGATTGAACCCGGACCTCTCGCACCCTAAGCGAGAATCATACCACTAGACCACTCAGCCGGATGGGAGGGAGAAGCCGGGAGATGCTTTTAGCGTGTATAGGAGCGTAACGGAACAAATAGTTCTGAAAAAGCAAAAATCCGGGCTGAGCCGGGGATTGAACCCGGGACCTCTCGCACCCTAAGCGAGAATCATACCACTAGACCACTCAGCCATGGAGCATGAGAAGCTGGGTGAAGCTTATGAGAATGAGATAGGAACGTAACGGAACGAAAATTCTCAAAAAGCAAAAATCTGGGCTGAGCCGGGGATTGAACCCGGGACCTCTCGCACCCTAAGCGAGAATCATACCACTAGACCACTCAGCCATGGAGCATGAGAAGCTGGGTGAAGCTTATGAGAATGAGATAGGAACGTAACGGAACGAAAATTCTCAAAAAGCAAAAATCTGGGCTGAGCCGGGGATTGAACCCGGGACCTCTCGCACCCTAAGCGAGAATCATACCACTAGACCACTCAGCCATGTGTGGAGGAGGGTGGAAGGGCAACATGAGGGGAATGCGGCTTCTAGAATCGGGTGAAGCCGGTTTTGGCAAGCCTGGCGCGTGTAGCGCGGCAAGTGTACATCTTGGCGCGGCGGGGGCGAGCGTGTCTCTTGGCTTTTTAGGTTGTCGGGGTTAGGATGATCGAGACTATGTCTGAGAGAAGGCTCCGAGAAACATAAAAATAGCAATGAAGAGACCATTAAAACAGTCATGATACTGATTTGTTTAAATTTTCATTTTAAACCGAGCCCATCACTTAAATTTTTCTAAAATTCTTAAAAGGCGAGGGTAATTAATGGATAGCTGATTAATATAGTTAATAAGTAGTGACTTTTTCAAGGCGTCTAAAGTAGAAAAATTAGGAAAATATAAAGCGCCTCGACAGAGAGGGAGAGAGAGAGAGAGAGAGAGAGAGAGAGAGAGAGCGAGAGAGCGGGAGAGAGAGAAGCAGAGAGAGCGGGAGAGCGAGAGAGAGGGAGAGAAAGCGAGCGAGAGAGAAAGAGAGAGAGAAGCAGAGAGAGCGAGCGAGATAGTGCGAAATGAATCAATTTTTAATCAGAAAAATGTAAAGTTTCACAGCGCATTATCAAGCTTTTTACGTTTTTAAAAGTTTCCGGATCTGAAAAAGTGAATTTCGGCTCTTCGAAAGCCATTTTATGGAAAAATCATATCCAATTCTGATTTAGATACACCAACATGGCCGCCAAGTTCAAGAAGCTGAAAACGAAGGAATCGGCCGGGAAATCCTCCGGCCACGAGAATTATCTCCTAGCTGACGATGCTGAGGAACCAGGCTCCAATTCGACATCTGCTATCTCTTCAGTGTCCAACGACAAGGTATAAAAACCATATAAAAATTAATTAAAACCTGTATTTAGACAAAGTCGTCTTAATTCTACGGAAATCGCTGAAAAAATGTATTTATTTGGTAGAGAATAAATATTTATATGGGTCTTTCTGGTTGTATTTTTTCTGGTTGTATTCGCCTTTAATTGTGAGCAATTTATTCGATCGAAAAGAGTGTAGTAAGGCAATTTTTGGTGGGGTAAATGCTGGCAGAAGGCGATCAAGAGTGGTAAGGCATTATGAATAAGGTAGCGTCGGTAATATAAAAAATCAGATGTTTTTGAAAATCTCCATCGGAATGGAAGTAGTTAGGCCGAATCGGTGGTAGTAGACGTCTATTGGAAGAAGCAGTACCTGGAAATGATAAAAATAGAGTAGTCATCTCTGTCTGTCCATTTTTTCTGCATCTCTCTCTCGTTCTCTCTCTCTCTCTCTTTCTCTCTAGCTCTTTCGCTCCTCTCTCTCTCTTCTCTCTTCCTCTCCCTCGCTTTAACGCTCTCTCAGTCTCTCGCCCTCTCTCGTACGCACACACACTCTCTGCTTCGCTCTATTGCTCCCTCTCACTCCGTCTCGCTTTCTCTCTCTTTCTCTCTCTCTCTCTCTCTCTCTCTCTCTCTCGCTCCTGCTCTCGCTCTCTCTCGTGCTCAATTTCGCCGAAACTAACCAGATGGCGTGAATCGGGGCCAAAATGTATCCGAGGCAGAAGAGCACGATGTTGATCAACACGTGCGCGTTGCAGTCATTTCCGTGGAGGAAGACGGCAAGCGGCTAAAAACAACGTTGATTACTTGTAAAATACATCTTCAAGTGCCTAAAAATGCTTAGGATCTCCACTTTTGGCGCTTGAATACAAGAAAAATCCAGAGACAATCCGCTTATTGCTAAAAAATCGTACCGGCAAGAAGATGCAGAGGATAAGCTCGATGATTTGCTGGGCAGTGATGGCCATTTTTTCTGAAAAAAAGTCCACTAAAAGGTGACGAACTCAGGGGAGGACAAAAAAACCAATCCGAGAAAATTGAAACCGTCGAAAAAATTAGAAAACGAGTTTGCTATAATCTAGACTAATAAGAAAAACTCCCGAAAAACCAGAGCCTATCAGTTTACTAACGCGTCTTGCCATAAGCAAAGAAAATTACGATAATCCAGGCCATAATTCATTCAAAATCCCATTAAAATCAGATGGTGATGAAGAATGAAAGGACCTAACAAGATAGAGGTGATTTTTGGAACGTATACTAGCAAGAGAAAGAGAACCGCAGATCACCTTATCTATCCCCTTTTGCTTGTTGTTTTCGAAGTTTTGTGGCGAAACGTTTTCAGCAACCGAGTGCATAGGGGGACCCCATGAAACCCTCGCGCGGGCCTGACTCATTTTTGCAAATTCAGAAAATTGGCCGGCGACGCTGTTGAAAGAGTGAGAAAGGAAGACGAGTGAGTCAAGAAGGTCGTCATTGGAATTGAGAGGGAGCGGGGGCGCATTTTTGGCAAAAATCAGCAAAATAATGGAGAATTCTTGAGGGCAAACCGTTCAGTTAGGTTTTTGTCGAGAGTTTCAATCTTACAAAAATTTTGTTCAGAGGTGGCTAAAGGAACAATTTAAATCGAAAAAAATTGAAAATATATTAATGCTGCGGTTTGACGGGATCTAAAAGTTCATTCATTCATTTTTTCCATAGGATCAAGCCTACGTCGGAAATTAAAAAAATGTTTGGGTTATCGTAACGGTATTTGGTGCTGTAAAATGTTTTTGCGCTCCCCCGATACCTTGAAAAAATTTTCAGTTCATAGGGACCCGAAAAAGCGTATTGGAAAATACCTAAAATAAGTAGTTTTTCCAGTTGTCCAAAAAACGAGGTGGAACCAAGAAATTCGTTTCAAAATTAGCGCCCGTGATTAGGAGTTTCGTCGAATTTTCAAAATGATCAATGGCGAAAACAAGGAGAGAGAGAGAGAGAGAGAGAGAGAGGAGGGAGAGAGAGAGAGAGAGAGAGAGAGAGAGAGAGAGACAGAGAGAGAGAGGGAGAGCAAGTGAAAGAGAGAGAGGAGCGCGAGAGAGATAGACAATGTCCAAACTTCGTGCAAGTCTCCCCACCGCGCCGCATTGAGCCAAATTTTTGTTTGTTTTCGAGTGTGGTCTGGGTGGGGGCGGGTAGAAGGTAGGGGGTGATTGGGGGGCGGGGCAAAGAACGGAGGGTGGAAGGTGTCGGAATCAATATGTTTTTCACGATGCGGATCGTCGTTTGGTGGGAAAGAGAAATGAGATGAAAAACGGAAAAGTGCGGGAGAACCCGGGGTGTAGATTTGTAATGAGGTTGAGAGTCGGGTAGGAAAAACAGGTCGTGAAATAGTGAACTTTCAGACATACTTTAAATTCTTACGATTGGCGTATAGTTCAATAACAAAAGGATTAGTTTTATAGCTTTTTAAGAGCGATTAAAAGTCATGAACCACAATAATAAATATATAGCTAAAAACATGCAAACTTTACCGATATTTCGATGCTTTTAACATCGTACAAAAATAGCTGAGCTCTAAAAAAAATAATATTTATTCAAATTGCAAACTTAAAGGAATGGGGGCACCCAATGAGGCAGTGAATAAATGCATAAAGCCGTCGGAAAAGTTAAATTAATGTCCGTTGGAATGGCGTTTAAGCTCGGGAAGGGAAGTTCGTTTAGGTGCGGAAGAAGCAGTACCTGAAAATGGGAAAATATGCATGTTGTTGTCGCCAAAAAGCCATTTTTAAAGATATATTCAATATATCAGTTTTCAGTTTTCAGTTTTCTAGAAATTCAGTTTTAAGGTCCAGAAAATCCCTAAGAATCTCTGCTAGTTTGCCCTAAAATTTGCATTTGATTATCAGGGCTGTTGTATTTAATTGGCGCGTAGAAACGTTTTGAAGGGGAAGGTTGTAAGGGAAATTTCTTCTTAGCTTTTACATAATCTTTGCAGTTTTCCTTAATGATCTCTGCCAGTCTGCCTGCGTATGAACGCTATTCCGCTTCCTATTCCCTTTAAAACGCACCAGATGGCGTGGAGGGGCGACAGGAAGTAGCCGAGGAGCATGAGGACCGCGCTGATCAGTACGTGGATGTTGCACTCGTTGGCGTGCATGAACACGGCCAGCGGCTAAAAAAAATCGGGTTTTAATTTTTAATTCATATTGACTTCGGCTTTTTAGCGCTTATTTTACGCACCGACGTCTTTGAAATTTGAAGCTATCAGTAACAAGTAGGTAAAAATTACCGGCAACAGGATGCAGAGGATGATCTCGATGATTTGCTGGGCGGTGATGGCCATCTTACTGTAAAATATGAGGACTTAAATTAAGAAAAACTGCAGAAAACAACGAGAGAGAGAGAGAGAGAGAGAGAGAGAGAGAGCGAGAGCGAGAGAGAGAGAGAGAGAGAGAGAGAGAGAGAGAAAGCGAGAGCGAGAGAGAGAGAGAGAGAGAGAGAGAGAGAGAGAGAGAGGCAGAAAACCTCAATTTGAATGTCCGAAAACTACCGTATCCCATCCATAAGGGGCTGGGGTGCTCTTTAGGAGGGTCAGCGACGCCTCGACACACCGTTCAAATGGAGGGTGGTGAGTCAGAGGGTCGAATGAGAGGGTCGGCATTTCAAAACAACCAGAAAAACTCAGGGATCGCACGTGAATCTTTGAGAATTAAAGAGAGATTGCAGGTCGGCAATATGAGAAGAGAATGGGGAATTTTGAGTAGGGCAATAGGTGCAAATGTTTTCGTGAGTTTTGTTAGAACAAGGTCCAGTATTCCGCACCAAAACTAGAAAAGTCACCTCAAAACACCTTAAATTTCTGTGTTTCACACCATGAGAGAAATCTAAAGAGTTTTCGAAGCATCCGTGCATTAAAAATTGGCAAAAAATTCCAGAAAACGCATACCCGATGTTTACAGGCCTCATAACAAAGCTTAGACGTTTAACTAATGTGAGAAATCGATAAAGACGCTCAAATAATGCTGCTAGCACTACGAAGCGCTCCACTACGCAAAATTGGATAAAATCGTTTAAAAAAAGCCTCACGAGCTCGATAATCGATCGCAAATTGTCGCGGCAACATGGCAATTTTTGTTTTTGCGGGTAACAGAGATGGATAGACAGCTGGGCCTGGGCAAGCCGAGGCCACATTACAGCCATCTAGCCAACGGCGCGCCTATCGACGCATTCTTTTCGGGACAGACTTGCCGGTGTGCAATCTGGCTGGGGGTTCTCTAGTTGTTGTTTACCGGGGCGAGGGTTGGGACGAGTCCAGGGACAAGAAAGATATGCTTTTGGAAAGTGGTGATAAGAATCTTTGAGCTTGAAATGAGGCACGAGGCTTGGATAAAAACACCCGCAGAAACATTGTCATTAATGTATATTGTTACCAATTATCATTTCCCTCATTTCATGGTCTTCTTACAGAAATAGTAACATGCTTAAATAGCCAAAAATTTTTCTACGAAAATTCAAATTAAAAAAAATATATAATTCTTGAAGACTTCGAGAACCCAAACTAGACTGCTCCCAACGAGATCGTTTACGTCTTATATACTTCACCTACCGTATTTTCCTTATCTAGCCCGAGAATCATTACAAAAATGCAATATCGGCTCGGTTTCTTGCCGCCAAAATTACACTCTTGGCTGCCAAAGGCCCGGAGCGCGGATGATGACTCAGAATATACAGAAACATCGAAATTTTTTAGCTAGAATTTTATTAGATCCAAAAATATTTCAGATCATATTATTATAGGTTACAGGTGTTTCACTAAACCATGAAGGCCACATCATACTTTTTAATTTTAACAAAAAAAAAACCAGATAAAACCATAAAATTACCGTTCTTCTAAGACCGCGAAACGGTGGCGCGTTGAGACTGGGCGCCATCCGAGACATATCTGCACTTTAAAGGGGCTCAGAAGTCATAATTCGTGCGTGCGGGGATTGAACCTACGGGTCAAAAAACGACAGGGTCACTGCCGAGAAGTGCCAAAAAGTGCTTTGATTGCGAAAAAACGTAAAATGTTTGAGAAAAACCGATTGGGGCAAAAACGACATTTTGAGTGCGCGGCGATTACATGTCGTAATGGCTTGTAAGGCACCCAATCTCTCGATCTCGGTGATTCTCGGGTCAATTTTCATAATTTAAAAGTCTGGAATGATCAAAATTCGTTGAGGATTCCAAAAATCAACTATAATAATTTTCTTGACGCGTCCGTCCGTCTGTATGTCTGAAGCCGAATTCAACTCGAAGGGGAAAGGAGCTAGAGCTTAGCTCTCTTCGGATTCGGATAGAGCGTGGTCAGAAACCCCCAAACTGCTAAAAAAAATACGAAAAAGTTTTAGTTTAAGTTATTAAAATTAACTTTGAAAGTTTTTCCTTAGTAAAAGGGGTGGGGGCCCCTCTCCCGGGAGGCCACGCCCCCTTTCCCTTCGCCCCTCTTCCCCAGGCCCCTTCCCGCGCCCAGATAGATTTTTTAAGTTACTTTAATACTTTTTAATGCTTTTTAATACTTTTTAATTATGTTAATTAATTATTTAAATCATCTAAAGCCATCAGGAAGGTATTTAGGTAGTTTTTGAAGGGGATTTCAGCCATGGGGGGGTATCTGAAGCCATCAGGAAGGTATTTAGGTAGTTTTTGAAGGGGATTTCAGCCATGGGGGTATCTGAAGCCATCAGGAAGGTATTTAGGTAGTTTTTGAAGGGGATTTCAGCCATGGGGGGTATCTGAAGCCATCAGGAAGGGATTTAGGTAGTCTTTGAACGGGATTTCGGCTAGGGGGGGTATCTGAAGCCATCAGGAAGGTATTTAGGTAGTTTTTGAAGGGATTTCGGCTATGGGGGGTATCTGAAGCCATCAGGAAGGTATTTAGGTAGTTTTTGAAGGGGATTTCAGCCATGGGGGGTATTGATGGAGTTGGGAGAGGATGTGGTGGAGTGAGACATGTAGGGTAGCCCGAAGGCCAGATGGTTGCAGTCGCGAAGCGACTGTAACCATCTGGTAGTATCAGAATTTTGAAATTCAAGCGTTTTCGCGTCCGAACAGAGGCAAAAGATCATGCGGCGCGGTCGCGTTGCGGCTGCATCTGGCTATTTGCCAGGAATCACAGCAGGGGGCCGTGGACCAGATTTCGGAGCCCCTTTAACGACAGCTACCAACCCGGAATTTCGCTGGAGAAATAGCTGAAAACCAATCAGTTTCCATTTCGAAAAGTTGGCAAACGGAAACGACCGGGGGGGGGGGCTCTTTTGGCAAAACATGGGGACATTTCGCAAAACAAGCTGTGTGGCGCCAGACGACTCATTCCATTTCTTTGGCCCTTCTGGCCCGCCCTCAACATGTGTTCTTTTCCCAAGCCCCAAACAGCTTGCTTTAGGCTGGGGAGCCTAAAATAAATAACCCGCGCGTTGCGTTGCTACTTCTTGGGTTATTGGGAAATTTGAAAGTCTAGTAGACGAAAAGAACGGAAATAGGGTTTCAAAAATGATATATAGTTCTGGATTTGGATCTTAAATAGGTTAGAAAATGACTGATTCGACCCCTCTGTCCACTAGGTCTCGACAGTCACTAGACACATCTCTGTGCGAGAAACAAAAAAAATAGCCTCTAAATTGCTGCAGTCAAAATCTAAAAACTCCATAGCTTAAAGGGACCATAGAGCCCAAGATCTACCCTATCCGTAGACTGGGTCTCGACAGTTACGAGCCACGCTAATTTACATCCAAAATTAACTTGCAAACCCTCCAAAGTGAAGCCTGCGCAAAATTACCTGTGACTTTCACGCAAGTTTTGGAGCGGCGCGTAGCTGTCCAAACCTAGGCAACGATAAGAGCCGATTCTCGGTTTTCTACCCCTTTAGCGTTTTTCTAGCTTCCTAAAACTGGTTTAATTCCGCTTAAATAGCTTTTTTACGGCTCTTTCAAACTAAAAACTCTCTTTGTGTTTACTCCAAAAAATTGTTTCGCTCGATTTTCGCGCATTCCAGCATTTATGATCGCTTTCTTCTGCCAGGGCCATGTGGGAGAAAACGCCACTCCCTAGACAACGTAGACGCGCGGGCGGGGGTGCCTCGCTCTGCGCGAATTGGAGACAATCCAAGGTCGAAACAAGATCGGGGCAAGAAAAAAAAGATGCAGCTGGCCTGGTAAACAAATTTAGGTGCATGAAAAATTGGGGTAAATTAGCGGCCAGTTAGTAATATGTTAAAAACCTAAGCTGGATTTTCCTTGGGAATTTGGTTGAGTAACCGATTCGTTAAAAAGGAGGTCAATTTTTGGATTTCGTAAATCCAATCATGAATTTTTTAGAACCGGAAACCGCAAACAGGCTGGCATGTATCAAATTTGCGTAGGATTTCCGTTGGGCTCAACTGGGTGGTTGCGGGTGGAAATGTTAGTGGTGGGACCGGTTCCAGCTGCGCATAATTGCGGTGGTATGGAAGGGTGAGGAGGGGATTTTGCGATTGATGCGCCGCAAATAATGCATAGCAATATGAGAGGAAAACGGAAATAAATGTGTATTAATCTCAAAAAATATTCCATACTTTAAAATCAATACCAAAACATTTGTCACCTGGGCTATCAGGTTACAGTAATTTTTAGTGCCTAAAAAATATTTATCTAGCGGAGAAACAAAAACATTGATTGATTAGTTGAATAAGAAAATTTGATAGGGTTTTTTAAGCAATCATACAATTGTTTAAAAAGCTCGGCTAAACTCCAGATAACCCCCAGCCGACCCCCACCTACCGTATCTCGGCTCCCTGTTCATCTACAGGTGTGTAAAGTATACCAAAATACTCGCCAGAGCAAGACGAACATTTTGGTATACTTTACACACCCAGATGAGCTGGGAGCCGAGACTAAGTTGGGTGCCGGCTGGGGTTATCTGGAGTCTTACCAAAAGCTGTTTTCCGGGAGAAATATCTAGAAACATACAGAAAATGATTTATTATTCCACTAGCTTACAGTCCCTATATTTTTCAAATTCACATGGTATCCACCAAGGAAATAATCATTATGTATATGGCGTAAAATACTGTAGATATGCAAATCCAAGATGATCACACGATCTTTGACCGGCTTGGTGGGGGCGATATGCCTCGAGGCCAGATCGATATCCCCTAGGGACGGGTGCGCCCAAAAGTGTAGTAGGGTCTGGTCGGGTCGGGTGGTGGGTCTGGTGTTGTGGATTGAGGGCCATTTGGAGGACATGAGAACGAGGGGGGAAGAGGTTGTTTGTGAATATTTGTTGGTGGGCCCTCGAGGCCAACACAACCGAGGTCACCAGAACTTTTTGGCGGTCAACGAAAGCGCAATCGTGGCTATGCAAATATTCAGATTTACCCTTGGCAGATCATCATCATTAAAAAGTGGCATGATACCGTAAAATGAAGCAAACTGTAGAAATATCGCAATGGCCTGTTTTCAAAGTAAAAATACGTAAGGAAACGTTAACGTAATGGTTATAGTCTATAGTAATCTGATTTCAGAGCGCAAAACAGAAAATAGAAACTTTGAGCCGAGTTGGAGTTCAGGAGGAGCGTCTTGAAGATCCTAGTTTTTTTAGAAATCTCAAATTTAATTACCTTTTCTGTCTGGAAACCAGAAAGAAGCCCGCAAATCCTGAAAAAATAGTATTACTAGAGTATGCGGCGGGAATCGAAATGAAACCGGAATCAGGATGGTGCCGATAAATGTGACTCATTTTCGCCGGCCGGCTGCTGACAGGCAAATAAATTCCTCGATTGAAAGCAGCCGGAATTGGGGAGTTGCCAGGAATTCGGGAAGACAAATATTTTTGCGTAATCAAGGCTTTTAGCCAGCAGAAAACTTGCAGCCCTAATGCTCGAAAAATGGCTTCAGTGGCCTTCTAAAGGGAAGCGCTAGGCATCACTACATATTTCTTGGATGTGGATCCCTTGCACTTGATTGCGCCGTCCGAGACACGCGACGTTCGCGTATCACCAGCGCAGGTAATGCACCCTAGTGAATCCATAGCCGCAAAATCTATAAACCTGTATTGCTCGTCCTTCTAACAAATTATAACAACCAAATAAACGGTACAAGACCAACCCAGCAAAGGAATTTGTCTGTCAATGGGACGCAAGTGGAAACATGGTGTTCGGGGCGATGTTTTGGCGGGAGAGAATCTGGGAATGGGCGTAGAGAAGGGGCATTCGGCCCGTCTGGATGAGTACCACGTCCTTTCCTCATAAAAGAGGGGACATAGGGAGGAAAAACGAAGGTCAACCAGCACAACAACCCTCACACTGGCCCCTCCTCATCCCATAAACATTTTGGCGGCCCGGGAGGAGGTCTGTGGATAAAAAATATCGCGTTAAAATGTGGCGGTGACGGATTGTTTAGGTATCGCAACGAATGGAAGGGAGCACCGAAATAACGAATGGCAGGAATCAGTAAACTGTAGAAAGGAACCGAATAATAGCGTAACGGAACGTCGCTCAATGGGATTATAGCGCGGAACGTACTTGCGTGGGCATTTTCAGATTTTTTGATCGCCAACTAGCAGCGATTATTGAGGAAATCGGAATTTTATTGACCTTGACGGTTACAGATTTGCAGTAGTACAAAGAAACCCCAAGTTTTATACTTTTAAAGCAATCTTCTTATCCGAAATTCCCGTCGATCGGGAAGCCACCAATCTGGCGGCCATCCGCCGTTTTTCGTTCGATACATTCGATAGGATCACGATCAACCTAAGACTCAATTTTCAATTTCTGTATCGGAGAGCTTACGTATAGAAAGTGTGCCCAAAGAAAGAAGCCACATCTTCGACAAGGTAGTAGAAAATTGGGGTCTCATCAGGGAAGATGTAATTTGAGACGACGTTGCTAGCCAAGAAGATGATTGTTGTGAGATGGGTGATGAGGAGCTAAAACAATATTTAATGAATTTAAGCTACTACTTACCATTATCGCCAATCGTTGCTCAACGCTTCTTTTCAGGGGAGATTGACGATGCTAAATTCAAGAAATTTCGAAAAACTGTCGTAATGAGGGATAGTCTAGACAAAATTAAAAACCGCAAAAATTACCATAACTTACCATCGTTCGGATTCTAACCAATGTGACGATATCGAAAAATACCGTCGTCATGAAGACAAAATACATCAGTTTGTCAAAATGGTCCATCATCAACGCGACTGATTTGTCCCACCACCACCAAGCATAGTCAGAATATTCCATCGGGTTGAACGTCCAGCCACCAAAGCAAACGTAGCCAGTGTCAGGGTTTACGACTAAAACTAGTGAGCTTTAGAGGACCTTGCTATGCAAAGCTTTAATAGTCTTGGGGAAAATCATAAGACTGACTTTATTGAGGGCCTTCTGGCTTCCATGTCTCTTTAAAGGGGTGGAGAAAGATGGCCAGGCGTCCGTCGGGGTGACGGACCGACGTGACGCTACTATTGCCGTAAGTCGTATTCGGAATTCGGAATTTTCATGCAAAGTCCGATTTCGGCGCAAGCGAAAGCGAGAAACTCGGAAACGGCCGGTGCAGGAACCCCAGGGTATTTCATGGCTTTTCGTCGCGCCGGCTCGGTTAGCAGAAGCTTGTGGGGTACTGGTTAGCACGCTGGGCTGTGGGGTGAACCATCGCTGGTTCGAGTCCCGCCCGCTGCAAAATTCGTTGCTTTTTTTGCCAAATGCATCTTTCTCGAGCCCTTTAAAGAGATGAGGACGGCATCTGTTGAACCCCCCTTGGGGAGGGGGGGTTCAACAGGTCCCAGCGCGACCGGCGACGAGAGAGGGTGCCCAGGGGAGAGGCGCAGAGACATTTTCTTTCCCGCGCGCAATCGATTGACTTATGCCGCCCCCATCCCCTTAAGATCGTTTTACAGTTACCGTTCCCCATCTCATATACGTGGACCCCGATTGGGAATAGCCAAGCTATTAGTGCGTGTTGCGGGGCGTAGCGCTCGAATTTAGCCGCGAAGCGCCCCTTCGAGGACAACGGCGAAGAGCCTGAAATTATAGTTGTGTTGTATAGCAGATCAGTAGCCTACCTATTCAATGCCAAACCATTCCCTAGGCACTGAATCGAGTAGAACATGCCGAGATTTAATGCCGTAATCAATTGGTTGAAAAATAGACCGTGAAAGGGTGGATTGCTCACATCGACACACCAGAACCTAAAAAAGGTCATTTATACTTTATGCATTTTTGCAACAGCTAGACTTCCGGGGACCTACAAAACTATACAATTGTAGGTCAGTTTTGCAAGAAAAATCTCATTTGTGAGTCGCGAGAGGTATCGCAACTTTAAAAACTCACGTAACAACACAATGAGCCTTGAAAAGTAGCGTCCAGCTCTCGTGAAGTCGACAAAAACAATCGATAGTTAGAAACCATTTCACACCTCGTGACAGCCGACTGTTTCTGAAGATCACGCGGAAACAGTAGAGGCAGAGAAGGAATCCGGTGGTGCCAAACTGAAAATATAGAAGTGATCCATTCTGCTTTCAGGAATGATAGCCTGCCGCTCAGGAGATAATTTTTTTAACTTTTAAAGCCAATTAAAGGGCCACAATCGAACTACTTCGTCATTAGGTATCGTCAACTACACAATACGCCAATAGACCGGCGCATGCGCATGAAATTCTGTTCGAAAATATACCTTGCCGGTTATCCCAAGACAGCGAAAACGAGATATTGAAATTTAACGTAGATGTCTAACCCAATCTACGGATAGGTCGACTCTGGCTTTTCACAACTTTGTAGGTCCTTTAAAGTGGAGAAGAGTGACGTTTTCGTTCTAGGAAAACTGTGGGGCAGGCACTTCTTTTGCTTCCTAATTCCTTTAATTTTGCTTAAATTATTTTTTAAAGGATAGTTGTAGTTATTATAGCGTACTTTTGGTATACCTAGTTAATACCGATACCGAGCTTAAGCTTAAATTAATTTTCGAACTAAATATTGGTAACCTACAACAATCATCGAGGCAACAATCGGCGGGTCCGTATTCTCATTCTGTCGATTCCTGATCGGTATCCCATTCCAGTGATATTTATACTTTTTTAGCAACCCAATCAGGGGATGCTTATTATCGGCGCAAGTATAGAAATAATCGTAGCTATCGTCCACATAAGCATCCAGATCCACGGGCGCCAGCTCATCTTTGCCCATCCAACAAAATCCGAAAAAATGCTGAAAACAGCCGACTTAAAATTGTGGACACCCCCTGTACCCAATAAAGGGCTGCAAATTACAGGTCAGAACTTTAGTTGGAGCCGGCCGTAATTAGTACTTGCGAAGAACAGCATCAGTAAGCCCAGAAAAATGCCGCCCTCTAAAGATCGCCCACATTTTGCCCAACTTTCGACCAGCTTTCGGAAGCCTGTAATTTGATGAATTTCGGCCATTTTGAGGCATTTTGGAACCTGAAAATTGGACATGTTCTGGAAGCTGTAATCAGGAAGGCCAGACGTTTAGAGAATTGCTGATTTGGGCCGGTAGTTAGCCTTTAGGGGACCTTTAGACAGGGTACTGTAATCCGCATAATTTGCGAGGATTTCAGTTGTATTTCTATCTCTCTTACTTAGTCTTACTCTATCTTTGTCTCTCTGTCTCGTATCCTCTCTATCTCGATTTATTCCTGCTGCTCTCTCTCACTCTCTCTCTCTCTCTCTCTCTCTCTCTCTCTCTGTCTGCCTTTTGATTCTTAAAAGTTTATCCACATCATTGATCAATTGCTCATCATAATCACAGTTAGCGCAAGAAAAAAAAAGTCTTGGGGCAGGAAAGGCGTTCGAAATCCCAAAAATTAAATAGTTTTTAGAGGACAGAAATTCAGGAGTAAAATTCTCCTTGTTGAGATCGTTCGAAGTTCGGCTTCTAAGCGCGGAAGAAGCAGTACCTAAAATTGTGTTGCTTTTCGCTAAAAAATCATTTTCTCTATTATAAACATCAATTTCTAAAAAACTTTTTCGATGTAAAACAATAGGAAAATTTTGCTCTCAAAAGCACGACAATTTCTTGTCGTAACATCGGGGGTTTCGACGCTATTTTTTGCCTTGCAAATTTCCAAACACCAACCAGATGGCGTGGATAACGCCAGGAATCCATCCGAGGATGTACAAAATGATGCTGACGACCACGTGGATGTTGCAGTCGTTGGCGTGGAAGAACACGGCCACGGGCTAAAAAGTATTGTTTAATAACCTCCAAGTTTTTAGAGATTTTTAAAAGTTTGAACGCAATTCAAGTTTTTTTCTTTATGGTAAGTACAAATCTGTATTTTTAGCTGACTAGCGACGACACGCGGTTAGGGATCACTTACCGGAATCAGGAGGCAGAGCACAATCTCGATGATGTCCTTCACTTCGATGGCCATTTTTCTGGATAAATGTGTATGTAGGATCAGAATTACATGGTAAGGCGTGAATATGGAAGGGAGAAAAAAATCAAAGTAACTCCTATCGAAAACGGCTTAGAAGGGCGAGAGGAGAGATCAAGAATTTCAGCTGCTCGCAAGTGGCAGGTGTGAAATTTCTCAAACGCGCTTTCTCAAACTCCATAATATCGTACCTTTTAAGACGGGGAAGCGGGATATGGTAAAATCTACAGTTTTATTCTCAATTTTAAAACGCAGAAAAAGCAGAAGATTTTGTAAGTAATTGAGAGACGTCAAATCTCTGGGGAGTTCCCAGTCCCAGTGGGGAGCCGATTTCTCAGAGCAAAAAAAAATAGTTCGAGGTGCCTAATGCTCAAATTTCCCCAGTAATTTGAAAATCCCAAAAAATGCTTCAGATAAAACTAGAAAAATTCTAAAAACGCGGAAAACACAAAGAAAAACACATTTACACTATCGAAATAAGGTTTTTCCGTACTAAACTTATCAAAATCGGTTTGGTGGTACTGAAGATGAAAAGAAAAATCAGATTCAAGCCCGATCAACAGCCGACAAGAATATGGGAATTCGGACAAACAGGTCCGGGGCACCGATTCGATTCTCGGAAATCGATCGGCCAAACGGCCATCGGCTTCTCCCCCCACGGGGCCCCACACGCTGCCGCAAACAAATAATATCGGACGCGGGGTGGGGTTGGCATTGAGAAAACGGTAGACAGGCTAAAAACAACGCCCCGGGAATTTATTCGAAAACATGTAGGGGGCCGAGATTATTTGCATAAAATTTAAGAGTCGCGTTTTTGTCGAAGAAAATAGCCTGGTGCACTCTTTGTTACGTATCCTACTCCTACTATATATAAAAAAATAGTGTCTGTGTGTGTGTGTATATTTGCATGCACTTCCGTTTGGATGTTCCGCTCCTACAGCCTCGGGGAAGGGTTTTTTGGATAGGGAAGAAACGACAATAGGTTTAGAATGGTCCGGAATCGACTGCACACATATAAAAATTTTGAAAAATTGCGGTTTTCGCTATTAAAAATAGGTTTTTGTAAAACCCTGTTTGTTAGGGAAATTAGCATGCGCCGGAAGTAGGAAGAGCCTATATAAAGGGACAGAGGAGCCGTTTTTCTTGCTAGAATTCAGGAAGAAACATGCAAATTAAGGACTTTCACAGGTCCTGTACGGGGCCAGGGTTGAAAAGCCGCGAAGCGGTTTTTCAACCCTGGTTTTTGTCTAAAAGGGCTTGAAATATGGTTACTTTAAGACCATGAGGACGCAAAATTTTTTATTATTAATTTTATGAAAATTCGTGGTATCCTTAGCCGCAACTCAGCCGTGACGGGGTTCGCGCGGCTGCAAATATAAATACGTTAAAGGTCTTACGCATATTAGCTGAAGCTAGATAAGGGAGAGAGAGAGAGAGAGAGAGAGGGGGGAGAGAGAGGGAGGGAGAGAGAGTGAAAGAGCGAAAGAGAACGTGAAAGAGAGGGGGAGGAGAGTGAAAGCGAAAGATATATTTTAAGAGTTCTCGGGGAACGCTTCAAAAATCAATGCCTTCCTTGGTTCACACGCCACTTGTGGGCTCACATTGCAGAAGGAGCTCTCTAAAATCTTTTGTGGTTCCACAATTCTTAGAAGCTTCAAAAAAGGAAGCCCTGGGCCTGGAAGCAGGTCAAAAAAAGCATGTAGCGCGATGGTCTGTTTCGGGGTTCCGATAAGCTAGGCTGATAACAGGGGGTAAACAATTTTTTGTGAAAGAGGTGGTGGCTTCCAATTTCTGCTGGTGAAATTTTTGTTACAGGAATTAAGGGTCAATTTTCGTTTAAGAAAAAAGCGAAAAGTATGCAAGTAACCAGTTGAAGTAAAGCATAAGTAGAGTATCCGAGAGAGAGAGAGAGAGGGGAGAGGGCGACTGAGAGAGAGAGCGAGAGAAAAGCACAGCTTTTAAAGAAACGAGGAGTCAATAAAACGGAACTAGTAGCCCCGAGGATGCCCCCATGGTCTTTCCGACTCCGATTATCTGGCCTCCGAATCTGGCCCAAAAGAGGCACAAGGCCACCGCGTACACTTTCGCCCTTATTTGGTTCAAATGACTCAAAAGTAAGGAGAGAAAAACAGTAGAAATTGAAATCATGAGTGGATATCCGGTTTCCGTAAAAATTAGCTTCCTGGGGGCAAGGGTCTCAATAACCTGTCTCAGCAAACAGGGCAAAAAGCAGGGGCACTGTCACGGCGCCCCGGTCAAAAACACAAAAGCAAGAACCGAGTCATCATATTGCGAAAACGGGGGAGGTGCTCCATGAGGTGAATCAGAAGCTTGTTTATAAGCCCCTCTCGGAGCAAGTGCATTTTAAGAAAACCGGAAACTCGCCTGTTCTAAAGCGGAAACTTACAAATGAAGTCAATCTGCAGAAAAGGCGAATAAATTAAGACATTTCCATGGTTCGGAAACGCTGAATAATCGTGTAAAAGCCAGATCTAAGCAATTTAAAATAATTTTCGGTCAAAAAAAGCTTGAAACTACAGAGCGAGGCCAATTTTCCGAGAAATTGCGAAGTGAGAAGTCCAAAAAGTCCAAAACGATTGGTAGCTCGACAAACAAGTGGCTGGCTTCCATCGTGTGTGTTTGTTGGGGGGAGATCCCACGACGCCAAAGTGAATGCAAATCATATTAGCTGGGGCGGTGGCATTGGCCAAAGCGAGGAAGGGGCAAGGCCGGGGGATTGGGATTTCGATGATGGATGCTGAGCGAATACTGCAGCTTTGGACTCCGAAGGTATCGCTTTCCTAGAGCCTGCCTTCATGAACGAAATTTGCCTTAATTCATGACGACCGTATGACCGATTTTCTACTGCATAAAAGCGTCTTGAACCTGCTAACTGTAAAGTGTTTTTACTCAACTTGGAGTTTCGATTCGGGACCAGGCGCATCTTGTGCAGAATTTTTCGCTGATTCCGAATATGTTTTCCAAATTTGCTACGGACTTTTATTTAAAAAATCATTTTTGGTAACAATTAGGCCGAAAAATGCCAAAAATTCAGACGCTGGCCCACTATTCCTTGTTTGGGGCTATGGTTCCCAGGGGCCCTGAAATACCCTCTGACAGCACCCTACCCAGTTGGCACCATGGTGAATTGGCAAAGTACTCGCTTGCCAAGCGCAGGGCGGCGGTTCGAACCCTGCTTTTTGCATAAAAATCTCATTTTGGTTTTTTGCTTTTTGCATAAAAATCTCATTTTTTTATCTAAAATGCTTGTTTTGAGCTGTAGGATGCTTGTCGAGCCAACGTCTAGTCAATTTTGACGTTGAAATTAATGAAGAAAATCGAAAACTATAACGATACCTTCATTTTGGTGAAAACTAGGGTCATAATTGCCGTATAACTTTCAGAATAACGGTCCGTAGCAAATTTGGAAAACATATTCGGTATCAGCGAAAAATTCTGTACAAGATGCACTTGGTCCCGAATCGAAACTCCAAGTTGAGTAAAAACACTTTACAGTAAGCCGTTCGAAATTCTTTCGGACCTCAGATGCTGAAAAATCGCTCAATTCCGCCGCAAAAATCGCTGAATAAAACAAAAATTTAACGTGCTGGTATTACTCTAACCGATACCAACCCCCTGTCCAAAAAGCAAAAAAGTAGGGGGCACACGGAGTTGAACCATGGACCTATCGGACTGCAGCCGATTGCTCTACCACTGAGCTATACCCCCGTGGCGATCGGGGCCGGGGGAAGGGGTCTAGAATCCTGATGGTCGCCTGGGGAAAGGAAGGAAGGAACGGCTGATGCAATCCTGCAGCTGCAAAAGGGGGAGAAGCCAAGGGTTTCACACGTTTTTACAGGAATGACGAGTATTATGAAGTCATAAAAATTCCCTAGAAAATCGAGTCTCTAAAAATTCAAATTTCGGTATTTATTTTTCTACGTTTTTGTATGCTAACTCGTTTTTCCCACTCCGGTATCCCAGTTTTTTAATTTTTAGGAATTTGCTCGGTTTTAAAGGGACAGTGACAAGAAATAATTGCCATTTTTACATCTTACAGATTTCAAACTATCAAATTTCAGCCTAAGAAACGGTATTTTTTGGTGCTTTGACGCAGCTAAATTTTTAAGGATGTCACTTCAGTAGTTTAAAATCATAAAAAAATCGTTAAATAAATATAGGACGCTGAAAAGTGAAAATAGTAACATCACGTAGGGATTTGTGCCCGCATGTAGTCGAGAAAACGTGCACTGCGTCTGTGCACCTCCTGGTCTACTGGGTGGGAACACACAAATGCAAAGGCTCAACCCGCTGTGAAGGGGTGATTGATCGGTATGTCTCTCATTCTTTAGGTCTCTCTCTCGACCTCTCTCTCTCTCTCTCGTCTTTCCGCTAGCGCATGAAGGACACAAAGTTGATGCGGAAAAGAAGTGCGACCAGTCGATTGTACACCGGCGCTTAATTGGAAGCACTCGTCCGAGAACGGCTTGCTCGAAAATGTCATAAACAGGAATGTGGGATATCGCTTGCTAAAAAGCGCCAGATGAAATTCGCTAGCAAAGCGAGAATCGACCATGAAAAATTAATTATGAAGCTGAAAAATTGTTTCCTACCCACCCTGAGGTCGGAAAAGCCGATCCACCTGTCAATACCGACAACAAAACTTGGAAGCTGCGGATTTGGAGGCATTAATGACTTTGTGAACACTTCAGGTATTTTAAAGGGCCCATGACAGCAAAACTTCACCGTCTCACCCTTCAGAGTTTCTTGAAAATTATGAAATAACCCAGCCAGGAATTTTTATCCAGAGTTTCACAGCTTTTCACCCATGGTGACTCGCTTGGCGGAACGCTCGCTTTAATGTTACTTGAAAGGAAATGGTTGCCGTTTGCAATGAATGGATTCTTGTGCTAATTCTTTAAACCTCAGGTTTCTCTTGTGTGGGTTTTTCTTTTCAGTTCTGAAGATACTGATCGGATGCGGCCCGAGATCTCCTCACTGCTCACCATCTGGCAGAAAATGCCCTGCGGTCATTCTGCCACCCTATACCTGTCACTTTTCAGGCTCGCCTGCCCGGGTGCGGACCTCTACCTTTTTGGTAAGTCACTCGTCAACAACGCGCAACATCGATCATCTCTGGAATACCATCCTCCTGTTTTTGCATGCGGTGTACGCTACACTTTTTTGAAAAATATCCGGTTTTTTCATAAAATCATGATTTTTAGTAAATAAGCACTTCACTTCCTCTCAATTTTTTTCCGTAATAGTTGTGAAATTTGCGAACGCTTGCACTTTTCAGATTCTGTGAGCAAAATTTTCTGCGTGAGTCTTGATAAGCCGACCGGAAATGAAAAACTTTTTCACTCGCAACTCGAATTTTGATTCAGTTTCGAAATACACCAATTTACTCTTTTTACATTTTAATTTTGTATACTTTCCAGTTTCCGAAATGGGTATTCGGTTGCTGGAACTACCAGTCGAAGTCCAGAGTAAAATCCTCCTTAAACTGCCCATCGAAACCTTGCGCCCTTTGCGAGTCGTATCTCGACATTTCGAAGAGCTGATCTCACTACACCCCGACTACAAGCTGATCCGCTTTGGCATTTTGTACGTTGCGAAAACGGTCAGTACTACATATAAGACGTTTGAAAACCAAATCTGCTACTTTTCAGATACGCAAGACCGGCAACTCGTTCCGGAGTAAAGGAATCAGTTCGACCGAGCTGGGAAGCATTTTTGCTGCCGGCTATAAGGTTCACGCGGATTCGCTTGTCGTTGACGTAAGTAATACTTCATAAGCGTCAGTTCCTTTTATGCACTTTTGTTTGCTCAGAATGTCGGCTGGGTGCTAATTCAGTCAGGGGGCGGGGGTGGGCAGTCGGAAATTGGTAGTAAAGGGTTACGCGACGCTCCGCTTAAACTACTTGGTTTTCAGCTTTAGCCTAGGTTTAACTTAGCTCTAACTAAGCTTTCAGGCTTAGGCTTCAAAGCTAAGCTTAACTTGAGCTTTCCATTGCCTTAGGAGGTCAAAATTGGACCATTAAGGGGTTAGCTTAGAGCTAAGCCTAGCTTGGCCCAAGCTAAGCTTAGACTTAGTTTGTATAAAGCTAAGGCTCGGCTTAGGCTTGGCTTCACTTTTCCAGAGGCTTCGAGTTCAAAAACGGCATTTGGAGCGTCTGGTAGTCAAAGTCCGGACTGCCCCCCCCCCAAAGTGCATTAGCACCGTCGGCTGAAACGATGCCATTCTAGCTCAAAACGTGAGATTCTTACAGTACCCAGCCCCCGAGGCAAGACTAAACGAGTTGATCAACCTCGGCGATCAGGGTCTGATCACGACCAACAAGTTGACGGTCTACAAGACAAGAAACGCGATCGGCACGTTCGAGTACGAGTTGCCGAGGTTAGGATTACGATGAATCCTGGAGACAACCTAATTTAGGGCTCTAAAAGCTAAATTCTTTATGCTTCGGCTGCCCGGTGGTCCCACGCCTGGAATACGGTATCTCAAAGCGGCGCCGGATTGTGAGATGATGCAAATCTGGTCGGGAGCCCCGTTGGAAGTCGATATATCCGAGGCTCAGGGATTGCGAGAGTGTGTTTTATACAAAAGAAGTATCTATCTATCTCTCTTACTCGCTCTCTCTATCTCACTCTCTCATTCTCGCTCTCACTCTCGCTCATTCTCTCACTCACCCGCTCACACTGTCTCGCCTCTAAAAGTTGACTCTACATTTTGACACGTATTTTGAAACGGAAAACATCTGAAGCCTATTATTAAACGAGAGCGAGAGCGAGAGAGTGAGATAAAGCGGAGAGAAGAGAGAGAGAGAGAGAGAGAGAGAGAGAGAGAGAGAGAGAGAAGGAATCAGAGAAACAGAAAAATCCACGCCGAATTTAGGTTCACGCATACAGGCGTCTGTGATGGTCGTGTCTACGCAAACTTTGACGACCCGGTAAGTCGATGGGATTCTCATACTTGTTTCAATGGTTACTAATTGTAAGTACGGCTGCAATTCCAGGAGATGACCACCCTGGTGAAGCACGGGCCGATCTACCCTGAAAGTCGTTGGAAACGGCTGCAGAAGGCTTCAAGTCGACATCAAATCCGCGGCTACGAAATTGATGGGGGTTACATTATCAAATTTCCCATGACCAAGATTTTTATGCAAAAATAAATAAATCGTTACTTTACGACTTATCCAAATTACATTCCGATATTTTCTTAAATCCGTTAAATTTTCCGCTTTTGCAGTGTTTCTAGTTTCATGACAATTTATGTTACCACAGAAAATCCCTGTTTTTGAAAGACTTGACAAATTCTGCGCTTTCCCCTCTTTTGCAGCTGCAGGATTGCATCAGCCGTTCCTTCCTTCCTTCCCCCAGCGGACCATCAGGATTCTAGACCCCGCCCCCCGGCCCCGATCGCCACGGGGGTATAGCTCAGTGGTAGAGCAATCGGCTGCAGTCCGATAGGTCCATGGTTCAACTCCGTGTGCCCCCTACCTTTTTTGCTTTTTGGATGGGAAGTTGGTATAGGCTAGTAAAGCGCCAGTACAGTAAATTTTTGCCTTAGTTAGATTCCTGTCCAAAACACGTTGTGGCCTACAGTAGTCGCTTTTTCGCATCATCGAAGTGCTTAATTTTTACAAATGAAACATGTTAAAAAATAGCGAGTTGTTTCTTAACGCATTTTTTTGTATTTTTAGTATGATATAATGGAAAGCCGCTCAGTTTCTCTCTTTGAGCAGATTCCCGAATCGGCAAAAACTGTCAACGAGCATAAAAAATCTGAGTTTATTCGCAATCTTCCGTAAAAGTCGGAATTCTTCCATTTTTCAGTATATTCCAAGTTATGGACAGTGTGAATTTTTGGCTAGCTAATCCGGGTAGTCGAGAGCAGGTTCCACTTTTTGCTCCCCACGATACTCTTTTTTGGGGGTTAGCCAGTCTTGGCGGATGACCACGATTCCCGGCTGCCCGCTGGCACATCTTATGGGATTCTCGATTACGCTATTACAGATTCAAACTTTTTACTATGTCGGAAATAGCTAAATCTATTAACGCTTTTCCACGAATATTTCTTCTTCTCCTCGTCACTGCAATTTTGGCTTCAGCGAAGTGGGGCAGAAAATGCGAGCTGCAGTTTGGTAAGTTAATTTAGAGATTTTTAGGCTAGATTTTCTGATGAAAATGAATGTTTTTGCTTCGCTTATTAGTCGCAGCAATTTTTCAATCCTTTTCAAGTTCTGATCAAAAATGATAGTTTTTTCGAGTCGCACATAATTTAAAAAGTTTTATGCCATTAACTCACAAAATAGATTCCGTTTCATTCCAGTGGACAGCACCGAGCGTATTATATCAAGAACCAAAGCTGTGGATCCGAATGCTGCTGAAATTGCCGCGAAAAATTGGACGCGCCTAGAGGAAGAATACCTGGGGCACATTGCCAACTTTTGCTTCTCAAAACAAGACTTCATGGCGGCGGTGCGGACACCATGGGCTCCATTGCACACCTATACACTCCAGCATGTTTGGATGGTGGGTGTGGAAATTCTACAAAGGCTTTTAGAAGTTCTACTTTTGAGCTGAAGACATATCGAAACGTTTGTCCCTAAGAAAAAAACTTACAAAGGCTTAGAAAACCGCAAAAAAGCGCTGGAAGCTTACCGACTAGAGCCGGTTCGTAAAGTTAAGGTTTAAAAAATCGACGAGAAAAGAATGGCAAGCGTAGCGATGTCTTTTAAAACTCATCTCAGACTGCAATCGAACCTTTTTGTATTGTTCCGCCAGAAAGATGCAAAATAGGAATTCCTAAACGTATAAAATTTACGAAAACTTCACGACGCCACCACACAGCTAAAGAAACGTCCTAAAGCTGTTGCAAAGTTGAAAACAATTCCGATAACTGCTATAGACAAGTGTCTTTCAAAAAAAGCCAATAAAAAGCCCACCCCTTGCCTTTCAGTACGGCCTTTTCCAAATCATCATCGAGGAGCTGCGCAGTCATCTTCGCTTGAAGCCGCAGCCCCCAAATTTCGATGGTCGTGAAGGTCAGGGGCCCGGCTATCGAAAAGTGAAGCCGTCGATAATGCGAGAGTTCCGTGAACTACGCCATCTGTACGTCGAAGACCAGAATAAGCTCTTTTGGCCGGAAGAGATAGGAAGAGCGGTGTATGTACTCGACGCCAGGCTACCACAAGTAAGTGATACTCGTCAAAAAAGATAGAACGTAAATTACTAAATCAAATGGCCCATCGCGCAAGAGTTTGCTCCCCGCCCCCACCCCCGAGTGCCGTTTCCGCTTTTTTTTTTGTTTTTTCAGCACCCATTCGGCGGGTCGAAAAATATACTAAGAGTTTAAATTTTGAGCCTACAATAATAAAAAAAGCTAAAGCCAAAAACTTCCGGCTGGGTAAAGTAAACGGTAGCCGTCAATTGTAAATTGCGTAAATCAAATTCCCGTGAAATTCGTGTTTTAGGTCCGTCAACTAATCGAACTGGCCATCGCCCTCCACCCAGTCCGCGAATCGATCGATAAAGACTTCCGGCCGACCTGGGATTTAGAGGAGAAGATTCGGAAAGCTCTAAAAGAATCGGCTAACGAGTCCCTGGCGGGCGGTTTTCATCATGACTACCAATTCGAGGAGTACGACTACGAGGGGTCTGGATGGCTTGGGGGTGGGGCTTGAGTTTCGTTAATAAATTGCCATATAATTAAAAAATTAATCACAAATTAGAGCTGTATACTCTAAATGAGCAACGGAAAAAAATTTCAGTTACAACAAACAGAAAAAACGCGGACACCGTTTAAAATGAAGTCCCTTTTAAAAACCTTAAAAAGAAGTATGGTAAAGTCGGAAAATTGAAATAATAATGAATAGTAAAGTGAAAGGCATATTTGGAAACCAGAAGCGATAATAACAGGGATATCGGTGAACGCGACAGTATTACTCCGTGTAAAACGAAGAAAAGTCTACCAACCAAACCCCCGGGTGGGGGGGGGTGGAGTCAATTTTCGGTAAAATAACTGGTGGTGTTTATCGACTTGTGCGAGGTTGCAGATGGCTCGGACGATACGTTTGGCAACTGAGTAGCAATAAGAAAAAACCCTACGAAAAACTTAGTGCCGTCTAGCGCATATTCGATAAATTAAAACCGCTAACCTAAAAGCCTGCGAAAACCGTGCCGATTTTTAAAAAAGTCAAGCTAATTTTCCAACACGGTCAGCAGACAATTCTACGAAAAGTAAAACAGAAACCCCCCAAACCCCCCCCTACAACCCCCAATTTACGCAAAAAATAGTGTATCAGAAAAATCAAACAAGGCCTTAAAGCGGTGTTCAGATAGGTATCACTAAGGTATCGGATAATTTGTGTTACACCACCGCAAATAGCCCTCCGAAAATTCCGAAGGAACTGTACATTCGCAAGACCCACAAAAAGAAGCCAAAAAGATATTTTTTCCTTGGCCAAAGGAGCGAGGGCCATGAATTGCCGGCGCGGGCAGAATTTTGGAACTACGTGGTCAATTCGACCGAATTTCGAGGCAAGCATCTGACCTACGGGCGGCTCGCCGTCTCGAACGGTTAACGAGGCTCCGTGGGACGCCAATCAAGACTAAAGATTCAGCGGACAAAGGCGATCAAATTTAGTCTAAAGGGCGCGCCGGCGAGGGGGCGAATGGCCCTTCCGTCTTATATAGGGTAGGCTGCGGGAGTGGGCCAGGTGGGGTGCGTTTCGGTGGCAGAGAGGCGCAGGCAGTTATAGAGTCGATTTGCAAATAAACCCTCCACTTTGTAAGGGTCCCTACATTTGTGATAGGTCCCATTTATCGCCAGGTTTTCTTGAAATTTCCGTATTCCTATAGCAGAACCCAAAAAAACGTTGAAAGTGGATTTATAAAGCAAAAAATGCGAAAAACGTTTTTGTTTGTGCTTTGTACGATCCTGCTGAGTGGTTGTGAGCGGCTTGAACTGCTAGAAATCGTTATAATTGCTCACAATTACACTTTTTTTGATTAATTTGCGCCATAAAGTTTTTGTGAAATTTTGGTGACGGTCAAATTCTAATGTTTTTTATTTTTAAAAGTTGCCTTGTGAATAGTGAAGGCAATTTTTTGTTTTTTTTTCTGCAAAGGTTTTTACGCAAAGGAATGGCTTTTTTCCGGAAGCATACGCTGCGACAACAATTTTCCCCATGATTTTTTCGGACCATACGCTTCGACGACAGTTTGACCATTCTCTCTGCAACAATCAACTAAAACGCTACGATCAGAATTAATAAGATGAAGTAATTTATCGATTAAATTCGTCCAACTGGACGCCAAAAACGCCCAAGTACCAAACACACACAGCAAGTCCAAAAATCAAAGCGCCAAAAACGGCAGCCAGGGGTCGGAAATTACAATTTTAGAAATGACCAGTTTACGGCGTGGTAAAGCGGCTGAAGCACAGGGCGTCACAAGGAAAAATGACAAGTGAAAGTGGGAGTTAGTCGCAAAAGGCCGTCGGCCTAAGCCCAAAAAATTCAAGTTTTGTTTCAAGATTAAGGCGAGGTGATGATCGTCGTCGCTTCAAACGCCTTCCAGCCGATGTTCAGCTCCGTGAAGATGGCCGTGGCGAGCTCGTGGTGAGGTTTGCCTGGAAATCAGCATGACACAAATTCATCGTCACAAAAATTTCGTAAACAAAAACCAACCGATCTGCTTGTCAGGGTGAAAAATCAGGCACGCCTTCCGGTAGTGCTTCTTCACGTCGTACGGGTCGAAGATGTCGCCCATCGTCGGCTGGTCCCATTTCGAGGCGCCCTCCCACAGCACGTCGTTCAGGCTGCACAACATCGCGCGGATGTTGCCCTGTTTGCCGGAGGTCCAGTCGCGAATCTGAGGCAGTTTTTGATGCAATAAAAGGTAAAATCCACTACTTTAATCGTGGTCGGGTCCAAATTGCGGTTCTCGGCCTCCTTCATCCCCTCGGCGAGCGTCTTCTTGCGCTTGTTGCTGGTGAAGTCGTAGCCTTGCGCTAAGCGGTTTTCTAGATTGCCTACAACCCTAAAATACCTGCCAACAGGTCGTCAAAGGTGGCCGTGCTCTTCTTGGGCTTTGCGGCTTCAAAGGACGGCTTGTGATGAAGAGTCGGATTCCGGTGGTCCAGCAAGTTCCTGATATCAGCCATAGCTTTCGGCTTGTTCGGCACGGAGTCAGTGGACTTGTCATCTAAAAATTGTAACCATAAAGTGACAATATAAAACGCCGTTTTGTGAAGGTCCACCATTTTTTCGAGGGCTGTATAGATTTACAAGGTTAAAACCAATCATGGAGGTATAAAAAAGGTAAAAGTTACGAATCCCCAGAACAAAAACCGTTTTGAAAACTAAATTATTGAACAAAATCGGCTAAGAATCTATGCCAAATTAAATAAAATCAAAATCCATACCTGTAAAAAAATCGGCAAAGCTAGTCTTCGGCCTGGCAGGTCCCACGACGGGACGATCAATTTTAGGCCACGGCTCGCTGAACTTCTTGTAGGTCTCGTTCTTGGTGCTGCCCCAGTGCTGGCTACCGCTCGTCGATGAGGACGCCAGGTTTTCGCCTAAATGACACTTAAAATTTGTAGAAAAAAGATCTCACAATTTGAAGAAACGTGGCTAAAGGCCGACGGGCTGGCCCTGGGCCGTAGATGAGCGCCGTCCCAGGCCTCAAAATTGGTCAGCTTCTGCTTGGTGTTTTCCTTGACATAAACAGATTCCAGTGGCGGAGGGTTCATTTGCAGCGACGACACCGTAAAATCGGGATCTAAATTTTTCTATAAAACTTTGAAAAATTCACGAACCTGTCGACAACCCGTCAAAGCTAGCTGCAGGGATGGATTTTGGTTTCAGCTCGGGCTCGGACTCGACAAAGTCTGACGGCAACGGGAGAGGTACTGCCTTTTGGAGCTTCTCGGTGGAGACTTGTTGCGCAACAACGCTCTCGGTGCTCGGCACATCCACTGAACTGCTTGCCGATGAGGTGATAAAGGCGGTGATCGGCTCGAAGTCGGTGGTCAGCGGGGACGTAGGTACCACTAAAATTGTTAAATAAAACCTCAAATTAATGGCGAGCTTTCAAAAAGTCACATGTCGCACGTTTTTGAATAGTATTTGGGCGAGTTTCTATTAGCTTGTTGCATTTCTTCTATTCAAATATTGGCAATATGACATTTCGAAATTTCTACATTTATGAATTTTGACAAATTCCGTCGTTCTGATAGCAAAATGCTTTTCGCTTTTCGTTGGAAAAACTTGAAAATGTCTCACCTCCTAAAGCCCGCAATTCCTGGTCCGAGACGAGCTCGTGCTCAACGTCAAACTCAGTGAGTATGGGAACCGTGGTTTTCGCAGGGCTATCGACCGCCAACAATCCCTCATGAGCACTAAAATACGACAAAAATATTTGAAAAATTTATTGCTTACTTCGATTTCCGTAGCATTGTAGCCGTCTTCCCTTTAATACCACGTAAAAACGTCATGCCGCGCGACTTGAAGCCGTTCTGCGAGGTGGCTGGTTTGTGCTGAAAAAATTGTCAAAATTTGCGCAAGCCACGCACCTCAACGACTTTTTCGATGCTCTGGCCCGGCGGTAGCGTGGCAGCTTTGCGCATTTTTACAGGAGAAGCCGATTTCTAGAAGATTTTATTAGTAAGAAACAGTAGCCAAGACTCACCACTTTTTCCGTACACGTCATGATCACCGAGCCCTCAGGCTCAATATTTAGAGCCTGCGCAAAGTTGGCCAGTCGCTCGGCAAATTCCTGGGCTAGTGGTCGTTTGCGAGGGTCCGCCTCCAGGCAGGGCACTAAAAGAAAGTATTCGTAGAGCGCCAAAGCTTACTGATCAACTCCTTGAACACCTCATTGTACGCGCAAAGCGGCTCCCTTGACAGCAAAACTTGAACGCGACAGATCCGAGTAACCGCCGAGTCTTCGAAGGGGTGTATCCGAAAGCAAAGCGAGTACAGCACACATCCGAGTGCCTAAACGTTACGATAACCTTCGGTTTGATAAAAAATTTAGGCATATTCTCAAGCAAACGTATTTCAAAAATTTAGAGGCCCATAAAGCTATAAGGAACTGCATTTTTTTGAAAACCGGAAATTTTCGTCCAAAAATTTGACATTCCGTTTTTTAAGTCGATTTTGTAGTTTTTACGCTAATAATAGTACTAGAAACATGGATGCCACGCAGAAAAAAAATTTGTTTCTCCCATCTTCATAAAAAGTTTAGTTTTTTACCCAGACATCCAGCGGGTTCCCAATCGGATAGTTGTTGTAGGTTTCCAGGACTTCCGGTGGGCGATACATCGGCGTGGTGTATTTTTGGAACTGAAATAAATCTATATAAGAACCGAAAAATGCAATAAACCTTTTCCTGGATCGCCACCCGTTCTGCGGCCGGCATTCCGTCGTAGGGTTGATGAGATTCGCGGGTGGCGCTACCAAAGTCGCAGAGTTTCACCCTCCCTTGAGCGTCGATCAGCAGATTTTCAGGCTGAAAAAAAAAACTTATAATTTTGAGGTTTCCCAGTCAAACCTTCACATCTCGATGAGTAAAGCCGAGCGAGTGCATGTGAGCAACAGCGTTCGTGACCGCGTAGATGATCCGAATTATTTGCTCGTAGGTGAGGTGGTTGACCTTGAGAAATTCGGCGATATCACCGCCTAAAAGTGGAAAGTTTTCAGTTTAGTAAAGGTCATATACCATCGCAATACTCCGTAATAATCGTGCACTCTTTGCCCGGCTGTCGATCAAGCGCCCTCACGCCGCTGTGCACGAAGGACGGGATGCACGGGTGGGAGGACAGCTAGTAAAATTATTTACAAAAAAATCACATTAAAAACCAACCCTTTGACAAAGCATCATCTCGACCATCGTCGCGTCTTCCGCCTCCAGGTCGTAGGCCTTGATCAGCTTCACGGCGAACGATTTCCCGGCCGAATCTTTGGCCAAGAAGACGTCCGCATACCCGCCTAAATTTGAAAAAGAGCTCAAGATAAGGAACGAATTACCCATGCCAATCTTCTTCTTCAGCACGTATTTCGTGTTACCGGCGAGGAGTTGTTGCCCAACTTCGGCGGTCGGGTGGAGCTTGGGGTGACGCGGCGGTGCTGAACGCGTTGGCGACGTTGCGAATCAGTCGTTCCGGGTCGAGGTGCGCTACCGCTTTCTTCACCGCGCGCTTCCATCTATCGGTCATTATCCTGAAGCTATTCATTAAAAATCGAATAGAAGATGGTTAGAAAAATGAAACTCAAATGAGGTGTAAGGATGACAAGGCGGATTCCTCTTAGTTTGTTTAGTTTTTTGGTTTTCTTTTGATCCTGTCAGTACTGGACTGACTGGATCTAGCAAGTCTTTGATATCACTCTTTCACCTTGAAAATACCACTTTGCAGCTGCAATTGAAAGTAACAAAAGAGGACCAAGGTCGCAAAAAGTTTCAGCCAACTCGTAGATTCCGAACGAACGACAGACGAACCTAATAAAAATATTCTAACCTATTTACAACAAAATCTAACTTTCTGCAACCTTCACGTTCAACCTCGGATAGGTGTGGGTGTAAATCTTTACCAAATGCAATTTCAATTCATTTCCCTTACAATAACAACTTTTTATTTTCCGAGCAGAAATAATGAGCATGAAGCTATGCTAGAACAAAGACAGTGTCACGTCATTACAAACAAAATAAATTGCGATTGGACGGCGTGGCGGGGTTTTTTTAGAAGATGGTCGCCACGTTGTCGTCGACGGCGTCGAGGTCCTTGTAGACGTAGGGCTGGCGCTTGCCGGGGAAGGTCCTAAGCGAGAATTCATCAAAAATAGGGGGGTTTACCTCTCTGGCACTCGGCGGGTGCTCTTCCCTCTCAAAACGTTCACGAACCGGATAACGTGGTTCTAAAGCAAGAAATTAGGGTTTTATTAAAATTAAATACCACGCGGCTCGTAGGAGCGCCTGTCGGGAGCCGGCTTGCTGACGTTGATCCACGGCCGATCGGCGTCGCGTAGATAGTTGTTGAAGAAGGCGCCCTAGAAAACAACGGTCGCCTCAAATTCTTTGCATCTTTTCCGGAAGTCGGAATTCAATTTTTTAAAAAGTCATATTTCGAAAATCGCGTTTTTTTCGGAAGTCACAATGTTCTCTCTCCTGATTCTCTGTTCGTAGCTGGACGCTGATTTGTCCAGATCCCGATTTTTAAAAACAGGATTTTT